GCCACAAAAACTTTCGTCGGGCTTGGCAATCCATGTCTGTCCAGCGACGAGAGCAAGCGTAGGCACGTCTGCGCAGCGAAACACACTGGACAAAACGGAGTGACGCCAGAGCCCGTGGCCGACACAGTAAGCAGGCCTGAAGTTATCTAGGTGGCGTTGGCTAAGTCCCATGAAAAGCTGATCAGCCATCATTTTTCCGAACGCATGGGCTTCTGTGGAGCCTCCGCTACCAGTCTCTATATACCTTGTAATTTCGTTAAGGTCACGCTCACTTTGCGAACGTTATAGATTATTCTGTAACATACGGCTGCTAGCAATAACGCTAGAATATTCGACTACACGTGTGTAAATGCCGCTGCGATTCACCGCTTGTCAGTTGATCGACGGCCGACGCTGTTCGCTGCTATCAGTGCCCTGTGTTACTGTAATCTGACCTTCAGTTTCCGAGCCAAACGCTAGGCCGATCAAACAGTTTCATGATTGATTGATTTGTGGGGCTTAACGTCCCAAAACCACTATATGATTATGAGAGACGCCGTAGAGGAGGGCTCCGGAAATTTCGACCACCTGGCGTACCTTAACGCGCACCCAAATCATTTTAGCATAGAATCTGCTCCCTTCGTCCCCGTCACAACCTCATGACAATAAACAGATAAGTCATTTAAAATTCTTCTTTCAATCCGTATTGATTCCCATCGGCATGTCTTCACCCCCTCCCCTTTTGTACTCCCACTTGCTACTTTGTACAAGTAACCTATCCCCTATCGTGCCCTTTGGGTACTCGTACAAATAAATAACAATAAATAAATAAAAATAATATATAAATAAATATTTTGTAGCCTTGCAATTGAGATTAAGCCAAATGCTACTAGAATCTTCTGTGGACACGATAAATACGTAAACTTATTTTTTTCTTCCCTTTTAGAGAGCTTTCTTTTAATTTGTCCCTACCACTTTCACGAGCGATTCTATAACACCTCTTCAAAACCATAATTCTGGATGAACACTTACTGGCAGGTGCAAATGAAAAATAACAAACTTCTGCATCGTCTACTGAACTCTCAATGAGCTTTGGTTTTGTATTTAGATGTTTATTATCTAAACATCACTGGACGTGGTTTAATTACTCTCTGTACCTTTGCTATATTTCTTCTTCTTCTTCTTCTCTCTCTCTTATTATCTTACATGGTACGCCGCAGGATCAAGGCCTGTATATTCAGAAAAATTTTCTCACTCTACTGAACTCCTCGCAAGGGTAGATGTCAGCCAATCGTGATATATTGAATGTACGAAGACCAGTTACAAGTTACGTAACCACTTACGTAACCTGTCGTTCGGGCAGATGGATAAAACTGTTCGCGGACTGCAGAGGAGGAGCAGAAAAAAACGGAAGGACAGAGAGGTTAGTCAGACCGCAGAGAAGCGGTGGTGCGCCACATAACGCTTTCACGCGAAAGGCAGTACATCGCGCAGACGGGCCATGGTCTCAACGGGAAGGTTACGAGAAAAATATTAACCTTGTAAAGAAGAACAATAATGGATAACTTGCGATGCATTGCGGAGATTTGGGTTCACTCCCCCCCCCTTTTTTTTTATTCAGAAAACTGAGGTGTTATCAACAATAATGAACTAACCAACAGCTGAAACCACCAAAATTCCAAAATTGGGTTGTGCTTGCGTAAGCATGTTGTCCCTGTCCCTATCAGAAACATAACTGTATTTTTGAAACGTTCATTAGCGAGTGAATTGTTTCGCATATCTTGTGCAAAAACAGAATGATACAGAAAAGAGAAACGCATTTCTCTGCACACATCAGCGTGTTGGCATCACCACTGTAGATATTCGTGCTCCGGGTGTAATAAACCATTTTCTTGAAAGTTAGCTCACGTGTTGTGTCCTTTCTTCTCGTCCTTGCGTTACGATGTGCTAAATATTGCTTCATTGCTCTAGCGAAGTTATAGGTGACTTGCTAATGGCGAAGGATGCTTATAATATTGCGAATTAAACAGCTGATACGAAATTGCAGTTCAACGTTAAAAAAAAAAACTTCGTTCAAAGCTGAATTGAATCATCACATTTTGATCACTCCATTAAAGAATACTGTCAAGAAAGTAACGAAAGAAACGCTATGCCCAGTTATGTGAACCCTAGCTGCAAAACGAGTGGTGAATTATGGCGCCACGTTACTTCACCACGTATTGTGCCCATGTACACATCAGAGTACCTTTTTATCGTGCTCGGAAATTCTTTTTTCTTTTCCTTCTTTCTCTCTTTTTTTCACGTCCGATTGACAATCCTATAGTTTCAGTATGCCTTCCGGTGTTATTGCACTTGGTGCGAGCAAGGCGGAACACCGTCATTTGAGTGTCCAGCTTCTTTTTGTCTCTCTATCCAAATGAGTCAATCATTTTGAGCAGCCATTGAGCTAAGAATAGAGTGCTATGTGTATACATAACCTGCGGCGGTGAAACGTTCAAGCGTTGCTAATGTTACGAAAGCGATTTGTTTCTTCGCAGTTCTTTTAGTATACAATATCTTGTAAATGTTTGTTTGCAACGGAGACGTGAAGTTTACTCACGAGCAGAATGTAGCCGATGTGTGAAATGTGGGAAAATTTAGATGTTTTTTTAAAAAAATATTGCGAAGAGAAAGTCCAACCGAAATGCGCACTTTTATGAGACTGGGGACACGTAGATGTCCTTCAGCACCTACGGCTATAGTAATCAAGCTTAAATAAAGAATGCATGGACAGAGCGGCAATAATAGCTATGCTATTCGTTTTTAGTACACTATTACTTTCAGCCTATGAACACATACCAACTTGCCCACGTGGCAGTGTTGGTACAACTTGCTTCGTTTTCTTTTGTCGCAATTAGTCAATATTTTATCTATAATTGTGCAAATGGGGTTTGTGTGCATAAAGTAAAAAGAAACTGTAGCGGACATTTTAGACAATATAGTGTTATCATCGGCCTGCCTGACTTGGCACCATTTGAACGCGTAAGACGTTGCGGCTGAGCCTACCCTGATTTGTTCCGGGTCAGTGCACTCAGAGATGCGCCAAAAGCGGGGACAACACGGCTGCAGTAATTCAAATTTCTCAGTGCAGTCGTCTTCCCTCGTAGAACCCTTTAAACATGCCGGACCAGCTGATGGCCTAAGAAGGGCTGTTTGCAGTCAAAACGACTTAAAAAGGGTGGCCGTCTTTGCATTGCACTGGACAATAAGCCAAGCGTCTGGGATCCGCATTCGGGTGCATTTCCCACGTTCTTAGTGGTGCCTTCATTCCACCGTTTTCCACAAACCTTGGCCTGCCCAGTGCTGCACACTCATTACTGCAACGGACGACACAGTTGATCTGCACGTACGACCCAACGTCTTTGCGCTCTTCTGCTGAAATAAAAATATGAGGTGTTTAATGTTGGCACTAGCTGTACATACAAAAGCACAAACCATTAGCATCAAAGTGAATTCAAATATTTTGCTAAATATACTAATTATTTTTATTAACTATATAAATTCTTGGCCCATGCTCATTCCAAATGCAAGAACCTAGGAGAAGTGTGAAGTTATGCCTGTTAAGCTGACATCCTCCAACTAGCACCGCTTTCAAGGTGTACTGCGATATTACGCTGGCGCTTTTTTTTATTGCTTTAAAGCGGGCTTTTAATAGCTGTTGGCGCTGAGTCATTTGGTAGTGAATTTCGGGGACAGATCCTTTTACTTGAAGTATTTCTTTTAAATTGGCCTAACTTTACTAGTTGTCTCGATTTCGCAATTAGAAGAACCTAAATTGGCGTAAGTAAATTAACATATCCGAGTTAATCAGTGAACTTATCATTGAAAATTTCCTTCCTGCTAACATCCATGCATACCTTATTTGTACGAATAGTCACTGCCTGCATGTCCCAGTTACTGTTTGCTTTCGAGGCATTCCACAAAAAAGAAAACCTGATATAAGCTATATCCAGATATAAGCTATATTCCTGGCTCTGCGTACCGGGCAAGTGTACTGACACGCCAAATCTCATGACATAACGTGATCCAAGTATTCAAACTCAAATACTCTTCCAGCATGACTGCAAATGTCCTCATTGGCTGTCTGGTGAACAAGAGACTCCGTAGGGGGGTGGGGAAGAAGACGCTTATGAATATTTGGCTGATGTATACGATCACGCCTATAGGCAATCATACTTTCAATATCATTGCATAACCGTACGTAGTGCATCAGATTCTAAATGAGACACTGTATATACAGCAACATGAAATGCTATGTGATGACAGCAGTAACGAGGCGAGACAGAAGGCTGTGAAAGACAAGCACTGCGTAATATGGCGCCCAAAACTTGCATCCTCACAATGAGTTATTTCAAACCTGCACTGCATTTGAAAGCTTCTCGTTTTTATACCGGGGGTAGATGCACAAATAAAAAAAGGATGAAGCAAGTTTTTTGCGTTTTTTCCTGGAGCGGTGATAATAGCGCCTTCGCTGGAGACCAATACGGAAGACTGGAGTTCTAAGGTGAAACGGCGGAAGGAGGCGTGTTGTCTTTTGCCCTCTCTGCCCCGTTTCCAAGCTATACCTTACGAGCGAGGACAACGTCCGGTTCTCGAGCAGACAATTTATGGTGGCGTATGTGCAGCCAGAACGATTCACGTTGTACAACGCGGCAGAGGTATGCGCAGACGGCGGGATACACTTCCGGTAGACTACGACAGACGTCGCGTTAATCTACTCGTGGCCACGGCCAAGGTCAAACGGTACGGGGCTCGAGGCGACGTGCAGCCCTTGAGGGCGTCAGGCCAGGCTATATGTGCGTGTCTAGCGCAGAAAACGACCCCTTTCCCGAGGTGCCGACCCCACGAAGAAAACGACGTTGCTTAAGCAGTCGGCTGAGCATATATCGCAAACCTGTCCCGGGGTTTGTTCACACCGAGTTGCACGCCACTTTTGGCTATGTGTTGCATTCTGGGCGACACAACCACCGGACGAAGGAGGAATACACGCTCGCAGGCTCGTGCGATTCTTCACTCAGCATGGCGTTGCGCCAGCCGGCAAAACAACCGCGTGGGTCCCCGACGTCCGAAAATCTCGCCGGACATCCAAACCAGTTCTCTCGTACACAGGCTCTTTAATTTCGTTCTTTTCTGCTTGTTTTGATCTCCGGCGCCGCGCTGGGCATCAGGGCTTGCTGGCGTTCGTGCGTTTACGCACTTAGTGCGTCCGTCGGGCCTACTCTATACAAAGACTCGTTTCTCCTCGAGCTTCGGTTCCGAGCTGGATGAACTCTTTCCTAAGCCGCATCTCTCTTTCGTTTAATCCCTCCGGGCATCTTCATGTTCTTCTTCGCCTCCTCTTCTTTTCTTTTTCACCTTTCCACCTTGCTTGCTCCTCGGGCGAGGCAACAGAGCATTGACCCAGCATACCGGAACAGCACCACTAGGGCCACCTAGGACACCACCAGATAACAGGGGTGGTGACCAGGAGCAGGGCGACTCAGAACACAGGAAGAGCATCGAGCGCACCGGACGTGTCTCCTGGCCGGTAAGGACTTGCTCGTTCCTGGGCTCCACGCCCACGTTGCCTTCGCGAATCGCGCTGAAAAGCATCACCGTTGTTGTGTGCCACAAGAAAGTGATAGTTATACTTTGTGGTATTTGTCGAAGTGATCCTCTTGAAGATAATCAGTTTTTTTTTTGGCTCTCACTCGTTGCGTTGATCGTGCTGTACTGGTCATTGGGCAGCTTGAATCAGTCGCTGCGGCGAATGAAAGCCAAAACGCATGCATAATTCCTGAAAAACCTACCACGGATTGCTATCAGTGGCACTGCGCTATTGTCCATGAATATGTTACCCTGCTTGAGTATCTCATGATTACAAGCGGAACTGTCGCCACGTTATCGAATAACGCATTCATCTACATTCTTCATTGTTCTTTCGTAAATATAACAGCTAATTCAGGAATGTAAGAGGCTGGACAAGTTAGGGGTATACTCAATAGCAGTCTCTGCGGGCTCTTCTAACAATTGGTGGTATGTGGTCGAGGCCATTTGCCCCAGCCTGGCAAGTAAAAGAACAAACTAAATACTTGAGATGGACATTTGTTCTTGCGTTAGAAATATCAGTTTTCCAAATGACAATGAGACTTGCATCCAGATTCACAGATATACGAGTTCCCTAGTTCACTTCAGCGTCATTGTACACGCCTCCTTTGGTGCAGATGACAAACCTTCAAGTTGGGGACCTATTCACCTACGACGTGCAGAGTACGCTCATGTACTCGTCTACGTTATGGTCCTACTTTGGTATAAAAAGCTCTTGAGGCTAGAAAATATAGTATACAGCTTCAGAGCACGAGAAAATCCACATGTGCTCCTCTGCAGCATACGACGTCATGGCATGCACCTTCTAAACGCGCAACGCTGCCCGCTTACATTTGAAAACAATGTACTGGTGAATGGCTTCAGATTATGGATTCAGATACCAATTTTGGCCAATATTTTGTGTCGTAACTCCAACAACCACCTTGGAGTAGCCTGTCAGGTGGAAAACCAGGCAAACCCCTGCAGCTCTACATTAAAACAATTCTCTCTTTCCAACATCCGTCAGCCGCAACAGCCGTGTTGCTTCCGCTTATAAACACAAACTTCGAACGATTTCCTATGACTGTTTTATTGAGAAGTTCACACAATGCAGAGGGGATTTACATAGTATACAATGAGCCACGAGCTTAAATTTAGACTTTCTCGCGACTCAACTGGTACATGTAGAAAGCTTTCGCCATGCTATGTATGGCTGTGGTTTTCATTAGCCTGCACACTTATAATAGTGTATGCTTAATCCTAATGTTGTGCTTGCGGCAAACGAAATGCGCAACACCGGGTAACGCCGAATAACGCAACTATTCTTTTCAACTGTGCTCATACCGTGGCCTTCTCTGGGCATAATAAATCTATGTACATTTCTGTTCATCGGCTTTTTTCGTTTCGTTGTGGGTGACTCATTCGGAAAATACCGAGCCTGAATATGCGTCTCAAAATGTTTCTTCATTTGTGTAATTCTCGCGCTTAAACGTGACACGTCGTTCTCTTTTCTTTTCAATGATTTTCCTTCGTTCCAATTCGCAAGGCTTTTTTTTTTTAATCTATACCAAAGAAGTTACGTTCCTTACTTCACCGTAGTCAACATACGAGCAAAAACAAAAGCAAGGCTCTCAGCCTGTCTACCTGGTTTTAAGAAAAATCTGGCACTCGTTCAAAAAAAAAAATCCGAAAGCAAATGCGAAGACAATAATACTTTATTCGGGCGATAAGGTGTATGAGGAATTGTTTTTGCATGATTGAAAAACAAGTACCCCGCATGCGCATTCCGCTAGTGTTCGCAGTGATTAACCCTATGTAAACTCGTTTGTGAAACTTTCTCCCCGGCACGAGCAGCCATTATAGTGCACGTCGCTGGCGCAAGCTGATTGACAGGATTCTCGTACTCTGATTAAAATGCCCCGCGCGTCACGTGCAATACAATTTCATCTGATCCTACAGCTGCCTAAAGCCTCCTGTCTCACTAAATTGTTTTCATTTGTTTTTTTTATTTGCTCATTTCGTGACCTCCAGCACTTCGTGGGTAATTTAGCGACTCCTGCTGAATGGCCCATGGAAAACAATCAGACAGATTGAGCCAGCTGCCCACATGCCTTTTCTTTCTCTACCATTTACCCGTCGAAGCGTCCTCGTCTTCAAGTTTCCGCTATAGCACATTTGAACTAGCTTGTCAAATTCACATTTTTGTCCTTATATGGAGAGCGTAATGAAGGTGTGAGGGCTCTGATCGAGATATATAATAATGACACGAAGATTTTTGATTCAGCCAGGTTTTCATGTAACAGAAGTCAACGTGAGGAAAGCGTCATTATGCTTTTATATGTGCCTTCTTGGGTGCAGGTGGCATATGCCTTCAATTTAGGGACCTATTCACCTGTGATGTACATAATATGGTCAAGCAGAGATGCAAAACTCACGGACATTTTGAGCACTGTGAAAAAAAGCAGCTTTTTTTTGCACGTTTCTTTCCGAAATTTTGTAGAAAATGAAAAAGAACAAATTTTCTTTAGCATATAGCACTAGTTTATGGCCAAGTATCAAGAGCAATAACTTTCATTATTGAAATAACATAAATGAAATGCTTTCTCTCTATTCACAAACGAATATGGTAACTAACAGATTGAAGGAAGGCCACAAGCATCACCACAAATTCATTAGCTCTCTGTGAATGGGTGCGGCTAGAATTGTTACAGCAGTTAGAACAAAGAACCCAGAAATGTTTATTTCGCCGTGGCTTCGACTATGCTAACATTGATCAAGGTGGTAAAAGAATCAAGTTCAAACTCTTATTCAGTCAGTATCACTAGCTTCACCAGTAGCTTTTTTCATCATGTTAAGGTGTCGCATTGGGAAAAGCGTAGCTGCTGTTGCAGTGCTTATAGACAGCGAGTCCCCGTTTTCCGCCAATGGGCTCCCCGACCGTGTAGTGTATCCACACGTCGAAAACCGGCCCAACCATTGCAGAATCTGCTTGAACATGGTTTTATGCGCAGACTTCCACCGCATGTCACAGAATTGAACGAGGGAAAGTCAAAACCGAACAACAGTGGGTACCAAAACATTAGGAACCACTCCCAACATGACTACACCCGAACGACGAAGCTACGTCAAGCTAATCTGACGCTGGAGCTGACTTTATGGGATGTCGATGGCGAATCGACAGCCCCATTTCGGTGTTTTGGTATCATGTGTGACGTTTTGGTTTCCCGTTCAACATTGAGTGTTGCATAAGCTTTATTTGTGTGCGTTTCTTCCGGAGAATTAGGCCAATTTTTTCAAGCGCGTTGAGAAAAAAAAAAAACAGAAAAAGCTAAAGCTTTTTCCTAATACTTTATTGTTTTTTTTTTTCGCCCTTCGCATCTCTATGCTCAAGTACTCGTCTACTTTATGGTTCTATATTGATCTAAAAAACCCTTAAGGCTCGAAAAGGTAGTATGCAGCTTTGGAGCATGAGAAAATCCCCACGCTCCCTTCCGAGGCATACGACGTCATGGCGTACAGCTTCTAAAGGTGCAATGCAGTCCATTTAGCTTTGACAGTAATGTACTGGCAAAGGGCGTCAAGTTATAATCCAGATAAATTTTTTTGCTAATATTTTGTGCAAGAACTCCAACATCTATGAACCTCAATAATCATGTTGCTTCCGCTGCCAGAAGTTAATGTTTAACGTCCAAACGACGGCAAACTGCAAGAACTTAGGCAGGCTTGTGTGCCTATAGGTGAGGACCTCCCAGAGCAGCGCGAGAAAATTTAGAGATGACGCACTGAATGGTTCACAGATGAACTCTGAGTTAAGCACGGGTTATTACAAAAAAGTGAGCCTGCCCTCAACAAAAAGACCCTGTAATCGTTGGCTTGCAGGTTTAACATGGCACGTTCTAACTTTCCGTGTGCCTCTGGCGTTGTTCGCAGCGGCGGTAGTCTGTAGGAGAAAAAATAAAAACTAATACGAGTGTGTAATCGTCTAAGTTTATCATTCGTAGGTCGTAGCGCTAAGAGCACTTGAGCATTTTCGAAAAGTAGCATATCGCGACTGACGAGGCCGCCCTCAGACAAGAGCAGGTGTGTTCGCGGAAGCACAGTCCCGCCTTATTGACGGTGCGAGTTGACTTTGGCTCAGCCATATCTATACTTGTAGCTTCCAACGGGTTGTGTGGTAAGAAACAGCAACACGATAGCTATTAGATTCTGTGTAATGTTGGACGTGCGCAATGCGGCACCACTAGAGGCAAAGAGTGCCCATACGAAGCCGCAGACGTGAATATCCGCACGTTGATAAGATTAACAGGAATCCATTCTGCATGCAAATCAACGTGATATATTTCAGTTTTGGCTCTTTCATCTTGCCGTCACTGAAGTATAAAACACGAAGCCCACGTCATATTGACCGTCGCCGTAGGAACCGTCGCCACGCGGACTTTGCGACCATGTGGTCATCTCTGCGCCGGTTCCTTGGAGGTCTGCCAAGTTTACTTTGTCGCCTGTGATAAGGCTGATTTAACAACGTCGTAAAAGTGACGTTCCAAAAGAGTTTGCATCTGCCAGAGGAATGGGGAATATTGCTTTAACAAGAGCGTATCGTAAAGCGAATCGTTTCGCTGCGTTCACGAAATTGTAGAAAAGGCGCAACTCAGCCCGCACAATAGTGATACGTATCTGCAATTCTGAAATCATACTTCCTAATGTATTGTGTTCATTTATTTTCAATTATTTATCTTTCCTTGAGCGTTAAAAAGTCACAAAGTCATGACGGGCTATACTTTAAATAGCAAATCGTAGTTTAGTACAAAAAAAAGAAGAACACGAGGGATTTCGTTTAGACAAGTAACACCAAAGTTTATCAGGCAGTCAGTTGGTCATTCGCGAACCCAAACAAAACATTCATGAACCAAAACCAGCAGCACCACATGAGTCCACTGAAAAACGAAATAGCTTGCGATTGAGCAACGCCTGAACCTAGGGGAGAATACAAGAAAGGTGACGAACGCTGAATTGGAACATAAATAAATGATTGATGCGTACGCTTGAAGTAAAATAGGAAGCTTTTGCTACAATAATTGGTAGCAAGAGCATTTCCTAGGTAGAAATGGAACGCAAAAATTTTATTAAGCCTATTTCCAGAACCTTTCTTAGAATCGCTAAAGCATACCTGGAAGTTACAACAATGTGTAGCATGAGCGACTGATGTTTAGACGCCTCAACATGCTGGCTCGTCACGACGTCTGGAACCTTTTGCCACACAAAGAAAGCAAGAAAGAAAGAAAGAAAGAAAAAAATAAAGAAAGAAAGAAAGAAGGAAAGAAAGAAAGAAAGAAAGAAAGAAAGAAAGAAAGAAAGACATGGAAGGTGAAGCAAGGTGCTTTTATGAAGGCTGAGTGACCGGCAACACTCCTTTTCAAATTAACACCTCCATTGCAAATCAGTCAAGGTGTTTCCCTCTGCCGTTGCTTGCACATGTGCTTTGGTCATATACTTTGTATGTCAATCATTTCGCTCTGTATATTATTCCGTGGTTCACTGCACAATAATCGAAGAATTATGATAAAAAGTCAGAGCTTTGCCGCAAAGGCGAAGCAATGAACGCGATAGCAATAAATTAACAGGTCATGCCAATAATGACAAGCAGATAGAAACGGGCTTCGCGTTTGTCACGCACAAATGACGCACGAAATGTATCTCGCAGGTACAGAGGAATGCAAATAAGCGTCTCAGTTGTTACTTGGTTGTGTCTGAAAAGCGCGCCCTTCTCGCAAACGGAGACTATGCAGCGAGTGCAGTGACCTTTGTGCGGCCCGGTAACTACAAGATCGTTACGGTGAAAGCCCAAGGTGTACGATTCTCCTCACCACGAGATAAGGGCACGCACGCGTGAGCGCCCACCCTCCTCATCTCTGCGGGGCAAAGTACGCGTGGGAGATGAGAGCCCGCGCCACCGCGTCCTGACAATCTGGCGATGCGCGCCCATTGCGCCATCTCGCTGGTAGTGCTTTGAATACGATAGTTCCCCCGAGACGGACATCGGCAGCATTAAGTGGTAGTTATAAATAGCTTGCCGTTTCAACGTGTGAAAAAGGTGCTTCTTCGCGGTTCAGTGGCTAACGCCTCGCACTCACAAGCAAGAAGTCAGATGTTCGATTCTGCACGCCGGAGTCTTCTACTGCGATAGCAATTATACCAACAGTCTCGGCTGGTTTCATGCCGTCACCGCCGCCGCCTCCATCATTCACCGTATGCGTATGCGTATCTATATGCATGAAAACCCAAGAAAGTCAAAAAGCCGCCCGCGCTCGGCGCCCAGCTCATCATGATGCGCCGACGCGCGCTTATTTCCCACGCGTAGTTTGCCCAGCCAATAAGAGGGGGGATTTGCAGATGCTTGTGCGCGCGTGGTTATCCTTCAGTGGGGAGAATTGTGTGCGTTCAGCTTTCACCGGAACGATTGCGTTAGTTGCTGGGGCCACAAAGGTCACTTCGCCCCTATACACAGGCCCCGTTTGTGAAAAGAGAGCGCTTTTCGTTCACAGTGAAGTATAACAACTGGTACACTTGGTAATTTGCACTTATTTGTACTTGTGATTACGTTTCGTGCGTGTTTTTTTTAAACAGCGCGCTAAATGTCGAGCGGTAAACGTTGTTAGTTCGCTCTCGTTCTGTGTATGTTGTTTGCGTGCGTCATTTGTTTGTGAGTAGCACGCTGCACGTTTCGATCTGCTTGCCGTTCTCAGCGTTACATTCCAAGTTGTTGCCATCGCATTCATTGCTTCGCCCTTGCGGTGAAACTGTGATATTTTTTTTTCTGGAATATCGTGCTTTCTTGCGTTTGCGTTTTCATATGTATGGATACGTATACATACACGGTAAATGGCGTCGACGCCGGTGGCAAAATTCAGCCAAGACTGTTCATATTATTGTTATCTCAATAATAATCATAAATGGCTAGGAGTAATCGCAAAACTAATATTTACGGGCTGGATATCAAATGAAATAAACGAATGACGCTTTCTGTTTTTTTTTACCAGGTAAACCCGGTCCTACAGTGTCAAGGAAACAAGATGAGAATCTTCAAGACCCTCCTCACTCTGGCCATGGTGGTGACGGTGCTATCGCTTCCGACGCTGCCGGCGCCACTGAAGCCGGAAGGATCACCAGACCAGCCAGTGCAGCCCGTTGTCCACACAAGTTCTGATGTCGCTGTCGAACCAAAATATTCTGGCGAATCAAAGCAAGGAGAACGTATAGAGGGTGTCCGGTCAGTGAGCAACGACCCGTCGCTGACGACCAAAAAACAGAGTGCAAGTGACGGATCTGCTGTTCAAGCTACGCACCACCTCGACACTCATGACACATCCGGTAAGGACGCCGTGGTTCAGCTAAAGAAGGCTGTAAAGCTTCATAATGACGAAAGGCCCTCGTTAGAGAAAGACGAGACTAAAAGTGACACGAAGGACACTGTTTCACATGAAAAGCCTCACGGGGCTCCAGATGTCAAACTCGGCAGTGATTCCAGCACTGCCACTCTTTCAGAAGACAAACCACAAGAGCCTGCAAAGCCGTTGCAGGGAACAATAGAGGATGTTAGACATTTCGGAGCTGTGAATGACGCAGTTGATTTGCCTAAGGACGTCACCACCCTGTCTGAAGAGAGAAAGACTCGTGTACCCTCTACGCATAATGAACACAAAGCTACCGACAAGGTTGAATTGACGCCAGATGTACCAAACACTGAGCACACACCAGGACACCCAGAAGTCACAAATACAGATGCCCATGATACTAGGAAAGAAGAATACGCCGTTACCGACGATGGAAAAAAATCAAGCGAAGCTTCGGCTGCGACTCTACATGACGTCACTACAGCAAAAGCGGAAACAGATGGAGACCATCACGAAGAATACCACAAAATTAGCAAACGCGAGGACACTAAGCACGATTACGAAAAAGACAGTATAGCTGTTAGTAACTCTGGCAGTCCTAAAACTAAGGCATCCAAATCAGATGTATCAAAGCCCGCACACATCAAGATGGATGCGCACAAAGCTACGAAGCCACACATCAAAACTATACAGGAAACTACTGACGAAATGAAGCCTGTCGGCTTTAAGAGCTCCAGGGAAATAGCCAGCCCAGATGCCCCTGAAATAAAGGCCAAAGAAGTTGAAGCTGCCCAGCCCAAGCAGTCACCCGACACAGTCGAGACCGTCGTGAGTGAAGAGAACGAGGTTAGCCCATCGACACAAACGTCACCGGAAACCCCACCGGGAACCCCACCAGCCTCCACATCTGAGGCTGCCGTTCCAACATCCGACGCAGAAACTCCTCAGGACAAACCGGCAACGTCGACCACTGACACCGCCAAAAATGAAACAGCGGCTCCAACGGAAAGCGGTAGTGGCTTTAACCCTTTTGGACCGATTAGAACTGTCTTTCAGCCCATCATTAGCGTTGCAACCGCCGTAAGAGATCAGATACGACCAGTAATCGGAGCTGCTCTCTCACCTGTCTTAGGTCCCCTCAGTCCGGGAAAAGGTGGAGTGGCGCAAAACGAATCCTCAACTACGATCACGCAGCCATCAGAAGGCAGTGCGACGCCTCCAGCTAGCCCCACTAAATACGAAGAAGCGCAGAACGAAACACAAACTGTTGTTCCGGCTGAAACAGCGTCAGTGACTACTGTTCAAGACAGCGTAGTTCTCGAGGCCAGAACTCACGAGACTGGTGCTGCGACGGACGGCAAAACAGCGACTTTACCAACTCAGGAGGCCAGCCGTAATGGATCCCAGACCCCATTGAGCCCGTTCCCGGTGCCTTTCGACCCGATTGGCGCGATCAACAGATTCACTAAACCGGCAGTGGACGCTGCTACCAATGTACGTGACCAAGTGCGGCCTATCTTCGAAGCCGCCGTGGCGCCCATCGTAGACGCGCTGAACCCGACCAAGGAAACGACAGACGCCAGCACAACGGCCGGTTCTGCTGATCCGCAGCTCCGGGCATCCGACGACATGGCCGAGAGCATGGCCGAAGAGCCAGCTGAGTTGAACAAGCGTCTCTACACCAAGTAAGGAAAATAAAGCGGAAAAAAGGAAGAGCACTTCTTTCTTGTGTGTTGATAAAACATTTCCAGACGCTAACAGTGACATTTCGTTTGGCAGTTACAAGCTGTTTTCCGTTTACATCGGTAATGACACTGCAACCTTGGATGTCATCAGCGCACTGAGAGAAAGTCTGGAGGTGAGTTGTAACTGCTTGTGTACGGGTGAACAAGAACAAACAAACATATAGTATACATACACCGATGACGTCGATGGCTACGCCAAACGTCTCATCAATAAAGTGGCCGTGCGTGCCAGTCAGGCCTGGTTAGAATGCATTCCACCTGACCTATACACTCGCCTTTTTTATTTGTGCTTTATCATCACACTCTTCTTTAGCGTCTGAATTTTCGTAAAAGAAAGCATGCTAACTTTTTTGCTATTACTATTCTAAAGACTGCTCTTTGGCATAAAATATGTAAATGACATTCTAAGAGCGCCTCAAAAGTAAACAAATAAGTTTAATTCATGCAAGAAATCTGGTAAGGATCGGTGGAGTGGTTCTTGTACCACCCTTGTAAGTCCGGAGAGCGGCCTGTGACCGGTCGCTCTGAGATGCCGAAAGAGGACTTGCTTCAGGCCCGGGCACAACCTCAAGAAGTGTGTCGAGTCTACTGCTGTGATAGAAGCACCACAAAAAGGGGCATGTGGTTCCGTACGCAGCGTGCTTTAGTTATCAAAGGAGCAAAGTTTATTCCGGATCAACACTCTGGCTTTTCGCAGGTTGACTTTTGGAATGAGCCCACACTGAATCGCAATGTGACCATCCTGATTCCTCCGGAGCTTGTCGAGAAAGTACAAAATATATTCAAGGACGCTGGCATAGAGTACCACATCCTCACGGACGACATACAACGGTACCACCTCTGGCATGCTGATTGAAAACAGACAAAGCGTGACTGCTACTTTTCATTTCTTTCATATAAGGATGCCACTGAAATAGGTGTACACAACTAAACAACGCGATAGCAATTCAACAAGGCACACATCACCCACCAAGATATCAACTTAACCGGAATTTTCTCTTCTAGGTGGATAGACAGAGAAGACGAAGAAAATCAACCTGGTCTTTTTTTAGAACAAAGAGACATAACACACTTCGCTTTTGACAAATACCACCGTGTTGAAGAGGTATGTCCAACGTATCGTCATCAAGCATTACATTGTTTGCACCGAATATGTTTTCGAAACAAGGGACAAGCCGACGTCCATTAGCTTTAATATATCTCGCAGCTTATAGTCGCGAAGTCGGCAGAGCGCAAGAGGGCACAAAGTGATGTTACCACGTATCGGTTACGAATTTCTCAGTGCTTTGAAGAAATAATAAAGTGACAAAAAAAAATCTGTCGGGCTATAAGGGGGTCAAGCACCTACGCTAGCCGACAACTTATTCCATGTACCAAAATTGAGCATTGATCTTGTTGGCTTCACAGAAGTTGAATACAGTGCAATCAGATAATCCAACTAGTATCGTTCATCAACCTCTTTTATCACTGCTTGCTTGAACTGAGGAGTTGCAGAGAGGAAAGGTGCCTACCCACGCCAAATAATTTACGTTCCCGATAAAAAAAAAGACGCACACGTACAAAATATATTTTTCCTTTAGATAACAGGGTTCTTGGACATCTTGGGACAAAAGTACAGCCACATTGCCACAGTGAGAAACATCGGAATGACCCAGGAGGGAAGGCCGATCAAAGGAGTGATTGTAAGAATGCCTTTTGTACTGACATTTATAGATATGGTTCGGTATAGTTTTGCTGTACTTGTGCGACACATTTTTATTCTAAGTAACTGCGTCATCACTCATTAAACATGTAACGAATGACGTTTTCATGGTCCAGATACGGTACTGAAGAAATAAATGGTCTCTTCAAGACCAAAGTTGTATTTGCATGCAACACAACAGGCACCACCTTACTGCAGTGCCCACAGTATTATAATCAGTAGCCCGCATAGCTTATTTAACTTATTTGCTGGGATCCCATTTTTAGACTAAGAATATTTACAGCAGTCATACTGTTTAGTTATTTGTTGAAACCCTTGATTACATAATTATTAGCATGCAAAATAACGTAATAACTGCAGACGGTCAACCCCGTCGAGATGTTTGATTATGGCTGATTCACTATTTTTTTATGCTCTTCTCTGGCAGCTAAGCACCGGAAAAAACAGGCCGGCCCTTTGGTTCGATGGTGGCATCCACGCGCGCGAATGGGTTTCACCTGCGACTATGCTCTTCTTTCTGCACAAAATGACGACAGGATATGGTTCAGACAGCACCATCACGACCCTTTTGCAGACCTTCGACTTCTACATCTTTCCTCTCATTAATCCCGACGGATATGCCTATACTTTCACGTCGGTAAGGCCTCGTTGCTTACTCAATAATTTCACTTCCTTATGCCAGTTTCACTCACCTAGCATTCCACTCATTCGCTGTGACAGAAGAAGTGTTTGTAAATGTTTCTTGTGAAAGAACTTTTGGTTTTGGCAGCTGCAGCACCATACGTGATAATTATACCGTGAGCTCAAACATAACCCAACGCTGTGGAGTAAAATCACCTGTTCCTTATGTTTTTTTTAGTTTTGTTGATACGAAGTGAATATCTGTTTACTAATTGTTGTTTTTTATATTGTAAGTTTTACAAATTTTCGTCACTTTGGCCACAATGCATTGCCAGTTAATTTTGTAGGTTCGTAAACGATGTGATACAGCAACATGAATTGATATAGGACATGATACTTGCAATTTTTAGTTTTCAGTACAAGTCAGGTGTGGGGTATTGAAAATATTTGCGACATCTTGAGCAACAACTGACGTAGCTTTCATCTCTCTCCTACCTCTCAGTAAACTATAGTGTTGCTATGAATCACTGTAAAGCTAGCTGAATGCAGGTTTGCCATGCACGTTGCGAAAGCAGGAAGTGTATAGCCCTCGATAAAACCTTTGTATACAGCTATCTTGTCGATTGGAGTATTGCAGATCAGAGTCAAGAGCATAGTTTTTGTCAATCTCTGGGGCTTCAAAGCCACGGAAAAAAAACAGAGCCACCACTTTGAGTCCCAGACCCAGTAAGAAACCCAGGATCAGTCATGCATGCAACGCCGTGCTCATTCACCAGTGATGACATTAATTGAGAAACAAGAATTTTCATAGAACAGGGCGTTTTAAACTCGCATCAGCTGCCTGGCCACAGTCACGAAATTTAGTCCCGCAAATGGCCCCGGGACAGTGAAAAACGAAAAGTGAGCGCGAGTGTGTGTGGTCGGAATTCCAGAAACATAGCCATAGCGATCTCCTCGATGACTGAAATCTGGACGCCGACCCTGTAGTATTGAGTCATTATTCTGCAGTTGGGTTTCAACAGGACGTGCCTTACGGGGCAACAGTTCTTAAGACAAGTGACGTCTGTGTAGCTTATCCGAACAAAGCGTTATTAATGACGATAGCCGAATATATAATTCGAGCACCACTTAGCAATGTCACAAACAGTCACAAAGTAATAAACAAAAATAAGGGGCGAAGAGTGTATGTGCCAGTGTATGTGCCAGCGGGCAACTAGCGAAGGGTTGGCGGGCCACGTGTTCGAGATCCCTGTCACAGGAGGTCCGTGCATCCACCCAAAAGTGCACATACAAGAGCAAACATAAATACCATAAGGTAGTGACGAGAACGTAAAGGACATTCTGAAAAGAACGAGTACATTCTGGTAAACGGTTACACCTGCAGGTCAAGTGAATTCATAGTTGCCGTGCACGAAAGCGTGCGGGTTGCTTTTGGTGCATTTTGTCACTCGCGCCTGCATGCGCATGAGTTATCGATGCGTGGGCGGAATTATTGGTATTCACTCTTATGCACATCACTTATGCCTGGCCATACATTTCTTGTTATTATTCAAGTTCGTTTTGCCATGTGTTTTCAGGATCGCCTTTGGAGAAAAAACAGGTCTGGTGGTAAGCGAGGATGCAGAGGCGTCGATCCCAACAGGAATTTCGACGCTGCTTTCGGCGGTGAGTTGCGACACCTTGCATGACTGATACTTGTAGTTAAAGCCCATCGGTGCGCCAGTCACACGTCTCTAAAATGACATCGCATTAACTCCATTTCACCGTGCACGCTGATAACGTTATACGCCAGACGGGAAATTGTTTTAGCCAACGTTACATTTGTGCACCTCATATCAAGCAATCAATTAATAATCAATATGTTTCAAAATATCACTGACTTTTTTATGCGTTCACCTAAGACGGCTTGACGGCGAAGACGAAAGCCGTCCTTTTCCTCTCAGTCAGTGTGTTGACCCCCCCTCCCCCCACCCACATTCGAAAACTTTTTGCAGCTAACGTGGTTTCGCACTGTCTCTAAGACCAGAGGTATTTAAAACTGTTTGAATTTCACCTGGTTTTGCACTTCTTTCGTGATCGGCTCACCTTTGAGTAAGCAACGGTGTCTTGTGATGGTGTCATTACGTGACAACGTGACATGTGACGTCGTAGTGACGGCATGATGTCGCAAGTTTGTCGATGTGTGAAGTCACCACGTGACGATGATTTTTGCATCGCTCGTGTTGAAACCGACACCGCTGGACGCCCACGCTGACGGTCATTTTTAATTTTCGCGTTTGAGGAGGCATTTGAAACTTCTACCCTAAAATATGTTGTACAATGTAAAAAAAAACAAGGATATGCGCGCAAGAACATTTCTGTGAGCAGCGGCAGTATGCTCACTAATCGCCTTCCATTAGGTTCCTATATATAAGTTACTTTATTTATTGTGGTAACAATTATATGGATACTCGATTATTTACCGTCACCGGGAGGCTCCAAAGTCTAAATTGATAACATCCTCCAAATTATTGCGTGTTCTAGCCGCGGGTGAAAGCGTGCGAGCACGGGGTGGGGAATGCGGTTGAAGCAATGATCAAACGAGGCCCCCCATCTACATCACTCTCGGAGGGTGCATGCGATAACATCCCTCCTCCTCTCGCGTGTTACGCCTGCTTTCGAATACTGCTGATGCAGAGAGGAAGCACCCCGCCCGTCTTAAATGGCTGTCATGGGACGCAGGTTGGGAGGGAGGTGGTATCGCTCGAAAAGCAATTATTAGCCTTGATTTTAAGGGCGCAGACGCAATCGCTGGTGCTCCCGATAATTCGGCACACGTCAGCGGGTGGTTCGTACCTGCTTCGCCCTCAGTGCCAGGAGACGGTGTGAAAAGTGGTGTTGCTCTCCGTGGAGCTGCCGTATTCTTTTACACCAGCGTTCGGTAGAGACGCGTGATCGGATCCAAAATAGTTAGGCTGGTAGCTATCAACCTTACTTCGCATAACATTAGGAAAGCGAGAGGAAAAGCTCTTTAATGGAAAAAAAACGAAGAATTCTGCCAGCGTATATAAAGGCGCTGACATATGCCACTCATACAGGAATAGGGGCTTAAGGACACAAATTCTCGAGGGCAGAAAAAGAGAAAGGGGGAAACAGAAAATATTATGATCGTGGTATGCACATGTCTCATCGTAATGGTGATGATATAAGTTAAGTTAATCACTTAGGTTAATATCCTCGAATAATCTGAGCAGAAACATTAAATTCTGACGTTTCTGAGAAAAAGACAGGTCTAAGTATATTCTCTGTATAACATAAGAATTCGTTGTGGTCGCACTGATTACTTAGTTCTTGCGGAGAAACTGTCATTTTTTTAAACCAAAGTGTTTATGTGTTGTTTCTCGTTGTTCCTTGCAAAATATGCCATTTCGAGGGCTTTTTATTTGCCTTCTTGTTTGCTCTGTGCATTTCTAGTCATGTCCGTTTCACTCCTCTCTGTGTGGCGTTTTTCTAGGCGCTGGCACCAGCGGCCACCCGTGCTCAGATATCTACCGGGGTGCGCGAGCGTTCTCTGAGGCTGAAAGCCGTGCCATACGTGACGCCATTCTCGCGCTTGGATCCCGAGTCAAAGGGTATGTCTCCGTTCACTCGTACAGCCAGCTTGTCATGGTGCCGTACGGGCACGGCCGGGCCACTTATACCAAGGATTACGCCGACCAGGTAATGCAAACTGCTTCTTTTTTGTCTATTCTGCCTATTCTGAACACACAAAAAGATAATGTGATTTATTTTGTTTTTGTTATAGATAGCAGCAGCGCGGGCAGTCTCCAGAGCCATACAGAGCCGTTCTGGCGTTTACTATCAAGTTGGAACCATTTCAAGCCTTCTAGGTGAGAACACAAGAGCATTTTAAATGTTGAGCTGCAACGAAAACGTGTACAAGAAGGTATTTTCATGAAACCAGAGATTTGTAACCATCTGCTTTCTTGAAGTCCAAGAGGTGACACTCTCACATCTCCGCGGTTGATGGCGACATACAGCTGGAATAAAAAGCAGCAGTTGAGAAATTCCTCAAAGCTAAATTTGATGCAGTTTGAAATGTCATGTGTTCGATATATTTACCGTTCTTGGTTCCCACCCACCCTCTTTCTTTTTTTGTGCGTATCACGTGACCTGTATTTCTGTTTCAATTTTTATGCGCTGGCGTTGATTTACTTTCGACCGTTTTCCTTTTCAGGTCCTGCGGCTGGGTCGTCTAGCGATTGGGCCTACGACGGGGCAAAAATCAAGTATTGTATAGGCGTCGAATTAAGGGACAAAGGACGCTACGGATTCTTGTTGCCGAATTTTCTCATTGTGCCAACAGCGGATGAAGCATTGGAGGGTTTTAAAGCTCTCGCAAAGTTCATAGCTAGAAGAGAGCTCAACAAGTTCATTCACTGAGCGGTAACAACGAACGCTAGCTTCTCGATGATACACCAGCTACACGTTGATCGCCGGGTTGCAAAAAAATTGTAAAAAAATTAACGTCCCTGTCAATTCCCGGCGGCCCACTCAACCTTGGAACATTAATTGCTGCGGCTGTGATTTCATAGTGCCGCATTCTTTTACCGAATTGTTCTGGGACTGTTCGATTGATTTAGTAGTGCTGGGACGGGTAAATTAGCGTGTTGATCGAAGTTATATATTTCTTTATCAATATTTTAGCTGATATGATAAAGTAATTTCATGAAGGTCAAGATTGCATTCTCGAGAGTATCTGAGCACGGTGTTGTGGCATATCAAGGTGTCGAATCAGTTGGCTTTCCATTGTCAAAAGAAGGAAGGTCACAGTTTGCAGTACACGCACCTAACATTGTATGATGCCGCAAGCCTTGCCTGTTGGAGGGCCGTTTCGGGGGGGTGAGCATGCGTTTTGTGCACAGCATTACCTGAAACGGTTGTAAACGACACCAAGCTGGGCATTTTTGGTCCATTTATTTAAACGCCTGTTGGCGAGAAGAACTTCTAGAGCGGAACTACCTAGTTTTGTCATAAATTCAATGTTATCTACTTAAACACACAACTGATAATCTTTCAAGCTCTCCTGAATGAGTAGATGGAACGTGCTACTTAATAGGTGTCATTGAAATACGATATATTCAAAGGGGATCTCCCAGTTATAGGGAGATGTGCGAGAGTTCACATGAGAGCCGAATTCACAAAACTTCTCTTTCGTAACAGCATTTACCCATTGGTCACCTTGCTTCGCTAATGGTATGCCCCTCACCGTGATTGAAGGAAATCTTTTTAGGAAATTATTTAGCATTAGACCTTTTTGGGAATACAAGACCAAATCGTCCTGTAAATCGTCCTGTGTGTTCCTCTGTACTCGGATATGATAAGAACATGTCATGCACTGTGAAACCTTTTATTTATTTGTCTTTTTTCGATACTGCGTTTTCATAACTATTCTACGTGTAGCATATAGTTTTGTTATCGCTAAGAAGAGACATTGCTTCCACAGTTTAGGGCAACTCACATTAGAGATGTCAGGCAGAAAACTTTCCTGTAATTTTCTGCGCACAAAATGAAAATAAAGCATCTCCTGTAATTGCGTGTTTTTTGTGTTGCAATGAGCGAAATTCACGAGTTGGATCCCGGCCCCGCGGCGGTAACATTTCATTGGAGGCGAAATGCCAGAGGCCCGTGTGCAGTGCTGCTTCAGTGTACGTTAAGGGACACCATCGGTGGTCTGAATTTCCGGAGCCCTCCTCCATGGCGTCCCTCAGAATCGTGGCGTAATTTTGGGATGTAAAACCTGAAATAATAATATTATTATCATTATTGATTTATTATAATAAAATTGATTTAATATTATTATTCTTATTATTATTATTATTATTATTATTATTATTATTATTATTATTATTATTATTATTATTATTATTATTATTATTATTATTATTATTATTATTATTATTATTATTATTATTATTATTATTATTATTATTATTATTATATTATTATTATTATTATTATTATTATTATTTCGCGATGCCTCGAGCTGTTCGAAGTCATCGCTTCACAACAACAAATTGTATTGGATGCGCACGCGCGCTCAAAGATTTCTAAAGGTTCCCTTTTTTTATATACCTGTAAAAGCATAGAAACCGTGCATTTCCGCGCACCCGCCGACAGACTCGACATTACTGCGTTGTGAGAACGGCCATGTCAAGTTAGTGTGGCGATCAAGATTGATTGATTGATTGATTGATTGATTGATATCTAGGGTTTAACGTCCCAAAACCACCATATGATTATGAGAGACGCCGTAGTGGAGGGCTCCGGAAATTTCGACCACCTGGGGTTCTTTAACGTGCCCCCAAATCTGAGCACACGGGCCTACAACATTTCCGCCTCCATCGGAAATGCAGCCGCCGCAGCCGGGATTGGAACCCGTGACCTGCGGGTCAGCAGCCGAGTACCTTAGCCACTATGTATACCACCGCGGCGGGGCGTGGCGATCAAGAGAAGCGCGGAGTCGGTTAAGAATGGCAGACGAATACTTCGCAACATTATTTAGGGTATTTAGGGCAGGGACGGTTGGCTAATAGACGAACAAATTGAATGCGTATCTTCATTTGTGAAGTTCAAACGTGGCGTCTAGGTAAAGACTCGAAATTATGTCATGACGTCACTGATTTCATGCTAGTTAGGTCTTGTTCGGGAACGACGCCTGCCCGCTTGAAACTAAACTCTGTGGTTCTAAGATCCGAATTTGTGGACAACAACAACCATCTCATTGCACCCTTCTCTTGTGCTTTTACATGTCAGATTCAGAGATCACTCACGCTGGTATTTCCGCCAAAATCATTACCCTGCACGATGTAAACGCCCACTAGTGGTTCTGACCATTTGCAGTGCAAGACATGAACTAGGCGCTTATTAAAGCGCTGGTTTAAGCGTAATGGTGTTTGTTGTTACAGATTCGTAAATGCGTCAACAGAACATAATCAGTTCCTGCCGCGCCGTACACGGCATGCCGCGTAGCGCACGAAAAGGCAGCCAAGTCATGCGACCTCTGCGACCCCAGCCTCTCCCCTCGCGCTTGTACTCCCCGTAAGGTAATCAGGGCCAGGTGATGCGCGGAGAGCACCCGTGTGTGGCATACGGAAGCCGGTTGACCTGAAATGGGCCAAAGGGCGGCCCCGCGCGCCACTGACTCACGCCGACCGGGAGCGCCATCCGAAGTCGACAAACCACTCCGCGCTGTCTCCGCGTTGTGTTTCCACGGTCAGGGTGAAAGAACCTGTCCTCGGGCGGATTCTTGACCGTGCCGCTCACTCAGCGGGAACCCCCTGGGCAACCAGACGTCCACATCGGTCGATTGCAGTCGCAGGAGCAGCGTAGTTCCACTCCATCGTCGCCCGGAAGCCAGGTACGGAAGGCACGTGTGGCCGCTCTGCTAAGAGGTTTCGAGACGCTTTTGTCGCTTCGCTCGTGCGCAAAAATTGTGGTGCCTGATGTTTCCAACAATATGAGAGATGTTCCTACAATTGAAGACAAATAAGATTGATTGAGCAGCAGATGTGTGCGGCTGGATCAGAGCACGCTGCGCGCAATATATCGAGCCATTAGATTGAATGGATCGATAGTTTTTTAGCGAACTTCATGTGAAACCAACCGACAATGAAGTCAAACTTCACTGTCTGTTGGCACCGTACAAGTTCTGATATTGCGTGTTATGTGCACAGCATGTCGATATCTCTTCGTTAGATATCCACAATTAGTCAGCTTTATTGCAAGTTCATTTAACTATGAAACCAAGTTGTGCCAATCATATGCATGTATATATTACAGATTATTCTTGTTTATGCTGCGAATGAATCGATGAATATCAACGTGGCGCAGTATGCGGAAACTTTCCGAGATGTAACTGCGTCTAACATGCTACGAATATACTCTTTGAGTAATTATCTCTTTGGAAATTTTCTCAACTACTTTATTATTTGTCATTTAGAAAATGCCACAGAATGTTCTAAGACTCTTCCCAGAAAGAACACTGCACAATTTTCTTTCATTCCATCCATTCCAATCCTTTATTTGTTGTTAGGCTGAGGAAAAGCCGCAGCAACATGTTGACGACTTGCCACTTGGAAGCTGTGCGAGTGCTTGTCCCTACACATAAACGTTACTTATTCTGCACGACAGCGAATCACTTCTCACCGTATAACGAAGGTGTTTGGCGTCTGTTATTTTGGGCCCACAACGAGCACGCATTTGCACGGTACGTGCAGCTTCCGTATCTCGCATCTTCCATAAATGTCGCTAAAGTATCCGTCATCGCGTAACGGCACCGCCCGGTGGGCATTTAGGGTGGCGTCAGAGGCTACACCAGCCAACGAAATTAGTTCACTGTAGCATCATCTGTGACCGTGAAAGTGAGGCCCAATTCAGACTCCTCTTGCATGTGCTCATCACTTTGTTACTGTGTGTACAAGAAGGTGAATTGTTAGAGGGGCTAGTTTTTTCGTTAGACACAACCAATGGAACTAACAGATAATTAAATCAAAGAAAAAGTATAGGGGACATTGTTTGTGATACGTTTCCTATGCTTTCACTATTTTATTTGTCTGTTAGTTTATTTTGTTGTGCAAATGAGTATGGATATTATACATGTATGTCTCAAATATAGAGCGCAAGCTACAGGTGATTTTAAACGGTATCCACAAATAAGTAGACGTGCCAAATAGTCACAGTCACCAACTTGGCGCAGGTTCCAATTAGGCATTTTGCACGTGCTAGTGACAACTTGAAGTGTCAATAAAAGATTTCTGAAGACTGCAAACATCCAAATTGCAGACAACATTCGTAGAGCTAGTGTACAAACAAGCTTGTCTGGAAAGCGATGAGCTAACAAGAGATTGCAAGATTCTTTTGCGAATATAATAGAACAGCACCACTAGGCCAATTTCCTTTTGACTGTACATCATGGTACGTGTAGTACCATGACGTACAATGGGCCGATGTTATCCTTCCTAATGGTATGGCCAGATGTGCAAAAATATAGATAAAATTAAAAAAAAAACGAGCCCTTCTGGACACAGGCATATACAGTATAAACATACCAGAACTACTTTGTTTTCTTTAGTGAAGCACTTTGTACCATACAAGAGTTGTTCTCTTTTTTGCAATTTAGATTACGCATGGCGTTTCACGTTGTATTGCCGATTCAGAAAACAAGAAGGATGTACCATGGAAGCACCTATGGTCTGCTGTCATGGACATTATTTGTAGTCTTCAGTACCTGCAATGCGAGAGTCAGCTTCGAAGGGTATGTAGTTGATTCAGTGTCAATTTATTCTAAGAAATGAGCATTAATCATATCTACAAGTTAACTAAGGTATCCAAAAAACTAATGAATATTAGAACAAGCAACACCACTGTCGTACGAAACATTTATGGGAGTATTTTTTCTTTCTTTTTTTTTACTCCTACCACAGGCACAAACTCGTAAGAGCCTATTTGAACTCATTGTCATCCGTCGAGTTCCTTCGAAACATGAAGACAAATAACACTCATGTAAGTATACAAAATGCTTGGTGAATGTGTTCAGGCTCGGAAAAGTAACCCTCTCCGCATATATTCAAATGAACTTAGTATTGTTTTCTAGTGCTCTAATTTGTTAGCAAATAATGCAGGCTTCAGTCATTCGTTATTGTGACATGGAGCCACCTGGGCCCATAAACTCTTATATGTTTGCAATATCTTCCGAGCTCGTTTTCCTGAGGCTTGGTAATATATCGAATCCTAAAACAATAGACTACGTGCTACAGCTCAAAAAAGGAATGGGTTTTATAAAATATTCATTGATATTGAAAACACCTCTTTGGTTGCTAGCAATTGCCACTGTACGCTGAAGAATATTGAGTACTCGTAACGTCTTTTTTTGGGGAAGTGCCTGTTCAGCTACAGTCTTTTTTTTAGAAAATTTTCTACCTGTTTGAGGTCGTGTCAACGTTCACTTGAATCAAGTATTTATACATATCTTCTGGCATTGCTGTAACATTCATATCTCAAGTCATCAGCCCTTTATAAATTATTGCAATTTCGACTGATTCTCTTCGATAAGCAGCTGGACTTTTGGGACGAACCTATTGCACCCTATCAAAACGTCACCATCCGTTTGCCTCCATCGGAAGCGTTCCTGTTCGAAAAACGTCTTGAACTTTGCGGAATACAGTACACTGTTCTCACAGAAAATTTGCAAGAGTAAGTCTTATGGCAGCGCGGCACCACCACTATACTGGCATATATATTGTCATTTTACTTGCAGATGGATTGATCGCGAAAGAAGTGACAATCAAAGAGATGGAGATTTTGACCCTAGGGACGCCGGCAGCTTCCGTATAGACATGTACCATACGCTAGACGAAGTAAGTGGCCATCTTTAGACCAGCAATCAAACAGCGAAGGCATTTATTAAAGAGTTTCTAAGGGCTTGGTGAAAATGAGAGTGTCAATACACAACTTTCTCGGGTTTTTGCGTTCACTACCATGACAAAGTTGGCCTGATTGATCTTTTCATAATTTTTGACGTGGACGGTATGGCTGACAGTCGATTCAATGGCAGCTTACATATCCATGCTTCTTGATAAAAACGAGTAATAAGGATACTGCTCTTCATGAACTCGCTTTGAGCTGCAGAGAAATATTACAATTACTGATAGACAAATGGTACTACAAGCAATGTTTTCATGTAATGCTAGTCACCCATATGCTCGCACTGTAATATCTTTTTATATTAGACGTTCATAATCCAGATTCATGTGATGCCACCTCTTACTTTCATGAGCAGTAAAAGCAGAGGAGCTGGTAAAAGGCGTCTTGTTACACCTTAAAACATTTAAGCACACGTTCACCGAAAGAGTGGAAGACAATGAAGATTATTCAATATATCATTGTCTTATATTGTCTTATGACGTACTGGTAGGCAAGTTAGAAAATAATGTTGGTATAGGGCACCACACATATAAACTAGGACAACACGACAACTAAGACAACTAAGACAAATGTAGTACCAGTGTCATTGTGCCAATTAATTTGGCTTGTTTGTGTGCATGACACCGACCTACCCAGATCTACGGATTCCTGGATTCGTCAGCTCAAAAGTTTCCCAACATCGTTACTCGCGTCACCATCGGGAAAACGGAAGAAGGAGCTGCGATTCGTGGTGTCAAGGTATGAGCTCAAAGAAATTTTGCATGTATCAGTGTAAGATATTCAATTAAATAACATTTATTAAAATGTTAGCAAGAGTATGTCACATTCAACTTTAGCTGTTGAGCCACACTCACTCCGACTCATCACAGTATTCAACTCCAAGCCGAATTCGAATTTTTTTCTTTTTCTTTTGTAAGTGCTCGTTTACATAAGCCAGCCGGCTCCACTAATGATAAGTTGCCTAAATTTTCATTTAAGGACATTTATGATGTATGTTTTTTTTTAATACCATTCCTGTTCTCTCCGAATAGGGGGTGTACGGTGGGTCGGCTCTGTCGCAGCCTTGTTGGTACGCGGAACGCCACTCCTCCAATGTGACTATCCTCGTAGAGTTCGGAACGATCTAGGCTCCATCAAAAGTGCGACTTCTTTTTACCCTAGCCTGACTCCACGCACTGCGTCAGCCACTACCCAAACATCCCTATATGCACCGACATGAGGTCAGCAGTCTGTGCCCCATTTACGGCTCGGCATCATCCCCCTACAGTCACCGCGAACTACGGCACGCTCACACTCTAATAGAAAACCACCCTGAAGTGCCTCGCAGAGGCTTTTTTCAAACAAACATCAGCGTTTAGAGTGACTCTCCGAACGATGTGCAATGTTTGAACCCACTAGTTATTCAAGTGTCTTTTTCATTTTTGTTCTGTACCAATATCTCATCTAGCAGGTTCTTCGTTGTTTCGTTAATGAATAAACTTCCACGCATTTTTACTACTAGAACGAATGGCCTAGGCATCTGAAGCAATGATTCATTGATATGTGGGGTTTAACGTTCCAAAACCACCATCTATGAAGCAATTAGAAAATTTTCGAAAAATCTATCGTATGGGCTACACCGTTCCATGCTGGTCTTTGTGCTTTCTCTGTCACTGTTTGTTTAAGATAATCGAAAAGAAATAAACTTCAAACTGAAATGAAAGCGTCGAAGTGATGTTATTGTACACGTCATGGTGCTGCATGCATGTTGACGGCCGACCCCACGTGCAGATAAGCTCCGGGGGCAACTCTAGCCGGCCAGCCATATGGATCGACAGCGGTATTCACGCCCGCGAATGGATCTCCACGGCCTCAGCGCTGTACATTATCGACCACATGCTCAAGAGCTACAACGACAGCGACGACGTCACAAAACTGGTGGACACCTTCGACTGGTACATATTCCCTGTCATCAACGCGGATGGATACAAGTACACCTGGACGACTGTAAGTGCACAATGTGGCATCCATAAAATAAGTCGCCGACATAATAATATTTTTGTCTTGCACTGGCTGACGGGCGTAAAGCTGCTTAACGCCAAATAGAACAACGAAGTTTACGTTTCGATGTTTACTGAAAATTTTAGCCACTCGTTAGGACCATTCCGCCGAAGTTCTACTGCAGTCATAGCCTTTGAATATTAGGGAGTGTGACACCACAAAATGTCAGCCATTGCAAAAGTTACCAAACGCGACAAGCACCGGTAGTTGCCATTAGTTATTCATTTCTTGAGTGTCTTTATATGTGTATATTCACGTTGACGTCGCAGTGGTGGTAGTTCTTGCTCGAACTGCTTGAGAATGTCCATTTATATGCTCGTCCAATGCCATCGCTAGTTAGAGGAGGCGTCGGCGCGTCCCGCAGTGATCCCGTTTTTTTATAGCGTACGCCAATGCATGGTCTGCCATTGTCACGTAGGGAGCATAAGCACTGATTAACCCATAGTTAGACAAAGCTCTTTAGAAAGAACGCGCACGTTTAACCCAGTGCCACTATATAGCTTGTTCCCTGACGTTTCACTCAGCTACAAGTAGATTTAGTTGCGTTTAATTAACTTTTTTCAAGAACGATGGATAGCCACTTGAGCTGTAAACGAAAAAAAGAGTTTTATTGCAGGCGTTGTAAGGTGTGTTGAGAAATTTCCAATTGTTTTAGTTTATTGAACATGTTGTGCACCCCCCCCCCCCCCTATAAAAAGAATGGACTAGCGAAACTTGGCATATATGTTTTTTTTTTTCCCTTAAACTCACGCGCATCGACTTAAGTGGTGTCATGCAATATACGAATGGCAGCGCATGTTGTACCCATATGTTGAACGTGCCAGTAAACAAAAACGGTCGCTTCGAGGCGACTATTGCGTCGGAATGGTCTCGCATGCAATGTCCTCGCTATTCACACGTACTCTCAATGCGTAAAGAAGCCGACAGCTTCAACAGTGAAGGGATTACAGCCCTCAAGTGTCGAAATTCCGATTATCAGAGAACGAAATGGGTGCTTACGTACGTGCACATTTTTACTTTCCATCCTATATTTTATTTCCTTATTCATGCGCTTCAGATGCTACAAAAATCGAGAGAAATACTTTAGAAGTGCTAGTGAAAGTGGCTTGGAGAACCGAATGCACGAGAATAGTCGTAGATATTAAGATTAAAAAGTGAGCTTATTATTTCAGCAGGATTCCCATAAGGAAAAAAAATCACGAGGGCTTTGACATGTCATTTTCTTGTCAAGATTTGTTGATATCTTGTGGTGTAGTTTAGCGCGCTCTCAAATGCTCTGCAACTTGTTCGGCTTTTCTTTTAACACGAAAGTGTTTTAAGCCTGGGTCCACCACGGCTCCACTGTCGTACTTCCGTCATGGATATGATGTTGGAAAATCTATGCTAAGAAAGTATAGAGGAAAAATCAGAAGACGAACACGTGTCGCGCGGAAATGAACCAGCAACTCCTCGCTTCTCAGGGCACGGTGCTAAACACTACGTCACAAAGCGTTAGTTGTGTGGAGTGTTTTAAACACTATACACCGTTTGGCAGCCCTCAGAGCTTCGAAACTTGTGCGTGTTTTCGTTATCAGTGGCGAGATGGCGTGACGATATCGCATTCGACTAGGGTGCCTCGATGCGCACGCCCCCGTTCACGGTGCTGCCACCTTTTGTACTGTTTTCTCCGCCGTTGTGGTGCCTGCAGCGTCTTCGCCCAGCTGTAGGGCTCACATGCCACTTTCTTCGGCCAAGTATGCCTGGATGTCGCGTTCCTCAGTGCAACAACCATTCGCGTTAAGCTAGAAAGCCACTTCCCGCCACAGCGAAGCCAGTATACAGCGGGAACAATAATGGAGGCTGCCGTAGCAGACGACGTAGATGTCTTCACTCTGAGCGGAGGAGCGAGCATCGAGGCACTCTTGTGTTCGACTGGAGTACCTCGAAGCGCGCAGAGCGTGGGCATCGAGGCACCCTGGCGTTCGACCTCGCTCGCTGGATTTCATGCCGACCTGTTGTGCCCCCGCGATCTCCGACGACAACGCAGCTCTGGCCGACCGGCTCGCCCTCGGCCATCTCCTGACGCCGTGAAGCTCTCGCTGAGTGGTGCCCCGTCCTCGGCCTCCTGCAACCGTGTCCATCTTTCGCATCTTCTCCTTACTTCTGTATGTGGGTCTCTCTGTCCCTGCCACTATCTCTATCCCTGTACCTTTTATTCCTTCCTATCCCTTTGAATCCCTCCTTACTCCCATTCCTCGTGAGCCACTGTTGAGGTGTCGCACTATGATGCAGACAGTTACGGATCTCACTTTTATCTTCTTTTCTCTCTTTCAAGAATTACTTACACTAGTCGACGTTGCTCTCAAGGTCACCGCCTCCACGAAGCGCCGCCCCTACGGTCCCACGGAGCGTGGTCTCTCCTGCACGCACGCTTATCAGACTCGTAATTCGGGAGAGAAAACGCGCATACACAGGCGCACGAAAGAAGCGCGCTGCTGACAAATGACGCAGGAAGAATTGTGACAGTTTTTAGTCCACGCTCGTCCTGTGTATGCTAATTCCGTGCGTGCTTTCTGCTTGAGGTGTCCGCTGCCAATTTCGAGCTGCTAGCAGTTCCTAATGTGACTGCAGTCTGTTCATCTTGATGAAACAATGCCCAATAAACGCTCAACCACCTATGTAAAGACACGTCTCACTTTCGTGGTATACCGATTCCTATATAGAGGGATCAACAATCGGCCACATTCATACTATCAATCAGGGAATAGAGAAATTCTCAGAATATAGCCAACCACTATACACAGCATTCATAGATTACGAGAAGGCTTTTGATTCAGGAGAAATATCAGCAGTCATGCAGACACTGCGGAATCAGGACGTCGACGAAGCATATATAAACATCCTGGAAGAAATCTAGAGGGGATTAACGGCTACCATAGTGTTTCATAAAGAAAGAAACAGAACACCAATGAAGAAGGGTGTAAGGCAGGGGAATACAACCTCCCCAATGCTATTTACCACGTGCTTACAGGAGGTTTTCAGAGGCCTAGAATGGGAGCAGTTAGGCATAAGAGTTAATGAAGAGTACCTTAGTAACCTGCGCTTCGCCGATGACATTGCATTGCTGAGTAACTCAGGGGACGAATCGCAACCCATGATAACGCAGTTAGACATGGAGAGCAGGAAAAGTGTGTCTTAAAATTAATCTGCAGAAAACGAAAGTAATGTACAACAACCTCGGAAGAGAGCAGCGCTTCTAGATAGGTAACAGTGCACTTGAAGTTGTAAATAACTATGTGTACTTAGGTTAGGTAATAACTGCGGAGCCGAACCACGAGATTGAAGTAACTAGAAGAATAAGAATGGAGTGGAGCACATTTGCCAAGCACTCTCAAATCATGACAGGTAGATTGCCACTACCCCTCAAGAGGAAGGTATATAACAGCTCCATCTTGCCGGTACTTAGCTACGGAGCAGAAACCTGGAGATTGACTAAGAGGGTTCAGCATAAATGAAGGACAACCCAGCGAGCAATAGAAAGAAAAATGATAGGTGTAACTTTGAGAGACAAGAAGAGAGCAGAGGGGATTAGGGAACAAACCGGGGTCAAGCATATCATAGTTGAAATCAAGAAGAGGAACTGGACATGAACCGGGCATGTAGCACGTAGTCATTAAGGTCATCAAGGGTGACTAACTGGATTCCTAGAGAAAGCAAGTGGGTTAGGGGGAGACAGAAGGTTGGGTGGGCAGATGAGCTTAAGAATTTCGCGGGTATAAATTGGCAGCAGCAAGCACAGGACCGAGTTGATTAGCGGAAATGAACGTGGGAGAGGCTTTTGTCCCGCAATGGACGTAGTCAGGATGATGATGATGATGTTGATGCAGATGTGGAGGGATCAGCCACGTTTTTTTACACTTATCTTGGCATTTCAGTTCCCTGACACTATTTCGCTACATTTTATCTTTAGTGCATTGCTCCAATCTGCATGGTAATCTTCTAGTTCTCCTTCTCCTTGCGGGTACTTGCACATAAAATATATTTCTTTGTTTTCGCACTGCTCTAAAACGTCTCATGCACGTGCAGGGAAAACATGCAAAAGTGATAGTCAAATATCTAGAAAATCATATTGTGCGCAATTAGATGAATAGGACACAGAAAAAATTAACCGGGGCAGGAGCATGAACCAACTCACCAAGCAACAAGCCTTATCTACAGAATCGTCTATCTTGTTCTTCTGACTATTATAATTAATTATTTAAATAATGTCAACCCTCTATGGAGGGTCATCACAGGGAGATATGTGACACTCTGTACAAACAAAATAGGCGCATAACTATACATTTCACAGCGATAAACCAGGTATACAGTTTATACAAATCCATAAAATCTATCCAATGTGCAAATCAAAAGACACACCTGAATCCCCATTGCAACAAATAGCACTCGCAATAATATTTACAGTAAGTCACACAAATGTATATCAAGTGAGTGCACAGACTCATTAACATCACTCGCATTGACTACATTCCTCGGCAACCCATTCCATTCTACTATTACATCAGGGAAGAAAGCACAATGGTATACACCTTCGTTCGCGCAAAGTCGCATTGCAGCACTCGTGTGTAGTTTGCCCTCTTAATTCGTTTCCCAGGTTGTTCTCCGTAGTCATTTCTGTTAACTTTAAGCTCAGCTTCTGATAACTGAAAAACAAACTTTAATCACTTTTGAAATCTGTGTTTGTGCAGCGTCTCGAGATTACAGAGTTGGAGCATTTATGTGACTCGGTCGTTCTGCTTATATCTTGAACATATGAAGCGATCCGTTGTATTCGTTCAAGTTTATTTACCAGCCCTTTCTCGTGAGGACCCACTGGTATATTCCAGATAGCAAACAGTGTGCTCGCTAGAATTTATCTCTATTTTTCTTCTCCCTCTCTCTTTTCACAGCATCGGCTATGGCGAAAGAACAGGGTGAGAAACGTGGGAAGCCTCTGCCGTGGAGTGGACCCGAATCGAAATTTCGACGTGCGCTTTGGCCGTAAGTGTGAAACACCTAGTACGACCTTTAGAGCGAGCTTGGGCTTCCGTAGAGTCGCGGGACGGACGTATAGAGTGACACGTCGTTCCTTCCTCCCCTAGTGGCAGGTTCGAGCGCCAACCCCTGCGCGGAGAACTTTGCCGGCACGTATCCTTTTTCGGAGCCCGAGAGTCGTGCCATCAGAGACGGCATCAACAACCTCAAAGACAGACTGAAGGCATATATCAACTTGCACTCCTACAGTCAAGTGGTCATGATACCGTACGGCTACTCGAAAGGATACACCAGCGACTACAAATCCCAGGTTTGTCGTCACAGGCCACTAGTTTATATTACGCTTTATGCGTGAGAGTATGTGTGCTCATATATGGCTTTCCGTTAATAATGGCGTTTCCGTCGTCGTCGGGCCATTCACCGTATACGCTATACTATCGTGCAACTCCCGTGAATAATTATGGTTGAGAAAGCGCCATTGCAGCTATATCGTATAGAGGCCACGAATAACAGTTGGCCTATTTAACAATTTATTTGCCCTATTTGTTCTGGAATGCAAAAATTGCGCCTTAAAAACACCTGTCGTTAGTATAGTACGAGACACTGTTTACTTAGAAAGCTTTATGAGAACGTCGTGGCAGTTAGGCATTACAACAATTCTGGTGGCATTGACTGTAGCCAATCCAAGCCAAGTAAGTGCAAATAAGCTATAGCGTGCTTGAAAAGCTGACAGGTGATTAGGCAGGCGGAAACAATATGACAGTATGCACTGAAATGCACAACATTACAAACCACACAGGCTGTCCCAGCCATCATGTGCTACGGCTTTTTTCTCGGATACCTCTACAAACTTCGGATAACGCCTCGAGACACGTTATCCGAAGGTTGCAGGTTCGGTTCTGACCGGCAGCAAGTTCTCTTTTCATTCACTTCAAAGCATTTATATCATGATGACTGCTAAACTTTTGAAAAGCTGCAAATAACCGCTCCTATGCCTCAATGTCCCTTCGTCTCAAGTTGTCCGGTAGCGCCACTTGTCCAGCGTCGATACCCATATTATATCGCAGCTGATGATATTGCGTCTATCTCCCTTTCACGTTTAAAAGGAATTTCGCGAAAGTTTCCAAATTTAATTCTCATTTTACCCTGACCAATACGCCCTCCCACCTAATACAGGACAAACCATGCACAATACTACGTATTCTGGCACTGCGCGACTCTTCTGTAAAGTTTTTTTTTTTCTACGAAGAACTTTCAAGCACCCATATGGCTCTGTAATAGAGCACCCGACCACCCCGCAGCCCCCCGCGGTTTGATTCCAGCTCTAACCCTTGTTTTTTCATTCCCTCGTCCATCACGGTCGATCAGTGAATAGGGTGCTCGGCTGCTGACGCAAAGGTCGTGGGTTCGATTCCGGCTGAAGCGGTCGCATGTCGATGAAAGCGAAATGGTTTATAGAGGCCCGTGTTCTGTGTGATGTCAGCGCACGTTAAACAACACCAGATGGTCGAAATTTCCGGAGCTCTCCCCGACGGCGTCCCCGATGATCGTATCATGATTTTGGAACCTAGAACCCTAGACATAATTGTTTTTTTATTTTATTCTTGGCATCCATCACACTTTTCAGCTCACGAACAACGCCGCTTCCTCGCGCACAACCAATGCCGCCGACTCCGGAATTTCTGCGAGTCGAGTTTGACGCCCTCGCGCTAAGTGAAAAGGAATAAATCTAGTCGACGAACAAGTGGCGTAAGAACGCACGCAGACGTGCTATGTTTACAGCTGCCGTTCCTATAGACCGTGGTATGCCGGACGTTGCATCTCCGGATCTGCGCCTTCCACTTCCGGCGCAAATATGTCGTCGACAAAACGCATTCATCGCTGTTATGATTATTGCCTGTCCGAGCCCGCGTTTCTTCCTCTTTTACAGTACGAGGCTCTGGAAAAGTTGGTGACTGCCATCAGAAAGAGGAACAGCGCCTTTTATCGCCATGGAACAGCAGGACAGACATTGTGTACGTATATGCTCAGCGGAGTTATAAAAGCGTATGCCGGCTTCCCATCAATTTTTTTTTTCGTTTAACACTCTAGTTCGTCAGTTTATATATATACATACACACACACACACACACACACACACACACACACACACACACATATATATATATATATATATATATATATATTATATATATATATATATTATATATATATATATATATATATATATGTGTGTGTGTGTGTGTGTGTGTGTGTGTGTGTGTGTGTGGTTACGCAGAAAAACGCAAAAGTGTATTATTAATTACAATTAAAAACATGTCAGCTCACTAATTACCATTCATACATGTAAGAAATGGCAATTGATACGAATGTATACGTTTCCAATTTCGCCCTTTCGGCAGTAACAAAGTTCACGCAATGCGTCATTTTCAGTGAGGTCCAGAAGTGTCCTATGTCTTTTATTTCTTAATTGCTGAATTTAGTTCATTTCCTATGACGAACAAGTTTGTCAACCAGTCAATCAACCAACGAATCAATCAATCAATCAGTCAGTTTATTATTACGAAGAAATAGATGTTACAGAATGTAAAAAACACAAAAATGCCTATTGTTAAACTACCGTTTATTTTTAAGAAAGTAGAAATATGGGTTACGAAAACAGAAATATGTGTTGAATTCGTCCAATGGATCTGCTAAAAAATTCGAAGAGAAACATCAGTGCATGCACGGGGCAATTTGTAAGTAGTCGAATCTGTCGTCTTCACACTCACTTATGAATCCACTCGCCTAGAATCACTCAGAATCAGATCAAGCCATGTGTTTGCGTCTGAGTGAATTCGGGTGAGTAACATTTTTGGTGAGCTTGAGTACGATTGAATTCAGCTGACGAAAATTTCAGATAGTCCGGCTGAGTCAGCTGACTAGAGAAAAGTTTGGTGAGCCCGAGTGAGCACTTATTGCTAAAATATATTTCTTGAGTGGGTGTGTGGGATTTGATTGATTGATTTGTGGGGTTTAACGTCCCAAAACCACCATATGATTATGAGAGACGCCGTAGTGGAGGGCTCCGGAAATTTTGACCACCTGGGGTTCTTTAACGTGCACCCAAATCTGAGCACACGGGCCTCGACATTTCCGCCTCCATCGGAAATGCAGCCGCCGCAGCCGGGATTTGAACCCAATGGGTGTGTGGGAGCTCTACATTTTTTTTTTGCCGACACATGGCTGTCTAAAGAGCTGCCCGTAATATTTCTCTTAATTTATATCCATTGGGTCGTTTCATACTTCGCGAATAACAGGTTGTTCGCAAGCACATCTTCATGTATTCGTTCTAATAAGCGTTATGTTCTTTAAATATGTCAACTGTTACTATTTTTAGTGGAATGTCTTTAAATAGAATTTAGACCAGGAGTCAGAAACATGTTTAGGTGAAGGGTCAATCTGCATGAAGCTGATACAGCGGGAGGCCGCACTGCAATTTGAGAGGTTAGGGGCTTTGCAGATGAAGAGAAAAAAAAAATCGACAAGTAGACCAAAATGCGCAAAACTAGATTGGAATTCATGTATTCTTTCCGTCGGCAGGTGACAATGTTCCAATCAAACATATGTTGCAAGCTGAAATACAGTTTTTTCGCCAAAACTACTATCTCGGCTTCAGTTAAGGAAAACAGGGGAGGGGCTGTTGAAGTCATTTTCGGGCCCGCATAATACTGCACCCCTGGTTTGACGGCAACCTTATTTTTTTCCTTTGCAATGCTGCTGCAGACATCACGTCGGGTGCAGCGCTGGACTGGGTGTACGACAAAGCCAAGGTGAAGCACACGTTCGTCGTGGAGCTGCGCGACCGTGGCCTGTTCGGCTTCATCCTGCCGCGCGAGTTCATCACGCCGACGGGCGACGAGCTGTTCAGCGGTGTCAAGGCGCTGGCCTTCCACATCATGAAGGCCGAACTGAAATCCTCATGATCCGAGTCACTGTCGCCGATGTCCGCACACGCTGGCTCTGTGCGCCCGATGCAGTGCTGAACTTTTGCAAAGACGTCCCATTTATGCAAAGACCCCGTGAGCAACGAATGACTCTGAATCTGTTGAAGCGACCGCGGGTTGCCAACAAAATGCTAGGCGCACCACGTCGGCATATGTGTCACTGCACAATGTCCACACATATGTGGACGTAGTGCGCCTAGCTTGGCGCAGTGGTTTAATCAAGCGATGGAGAGAGAAGTTAGCTGTTAAAATGGACAGAGGTTGGCTCATCTAACTTGCCCTGTCCTGCTTCTATGCACGAAAGGGAATTAAATGAAAATATCGCACGCTGGCGTCTAGATTTAAAAGATGTGGATTTACAGCATAAAGCGGTTCGACTGTGCGTCAGATTAACTGCCTCATCCCACATTTTCTGGAGGATAAACAGCGGTTGAACGCGGTGACCTTCATTTGTCAAAAAAAGAAGTGCAGTGTGCAAAACCATTGACTAACAATTCCGTGTGCTCGGATTTGGGTGCACGTTAAAGAACCCCAGGTGATCGGAATTTCCGAAGCCCTTCACTACGGCGTCTCTTATTATCATATGGTGGTTTTGGGACGTTAAACCCCACATATCAATCATTATTGACTGAAACTTATTCGAGTCATGAAAAAAAAATTCTGCAGTTAATACCTACAGGACGCAGTGACACTGGACGGTATACACAGGCAGTTGGCCTTTGCAGGGTGATGGGCTATAACAGCTGTGCAATTAATTGTATCTTTTGTGTCCCTGCTTTTCTTGCGTTTTATTTCGGTTGCAGGGAGAGCTGACAGATGCACCTATTATACCTCAGCTGCGGTGAAGGCATTTATATCAGCATTCGTTTGTGCCGTGATATTCTTGCATCTCGCGACTTTGTTTTAATGTTGCTTACTTCAATGATATCGCGTGCTTTCGATTGCGCTACGCCCTTACACTCCCAAATAAAAAATCAGAACTAAGAATGAGAAAATAAATGTTCGGAAGCGAAAGTAAACAAAAAGTAGTGGACGTGTATAACAGCAGCACCACTTCCGCCGTGGGACCGAAGAGCAATCTGGAATCGATGTTAGGGTCGAAAAAGCCTCAGGACTATAACTTGTGGTTGTGCCTTATAGTGCAATGTCATCACGAACTAAAAGAATGCAAAAGTATCCGTACCCGAGCTGTTGCACAAGTTAGGGCTGAGTGTCATCTGCATTAAGTGTACAGAAAGGAGTCACCGAAACAGGTTTTTGCGTCACCTGACTGATGCAGCCGGTCATGAACTGACGCCGGGTACAGCTCTCGGCTGCGGGGATCATCTGTGTACGGCGAAAGTATGCTCGTAGACACATTGTGCCACTTCCGCCTGAAGAGCGCTTTAATGCTTGACGACCCTGCTTATGTACAGCAGTCATACCCAGTTTAACCAACCCTAAGGTCGAGGTCAATCTATGCGATGCGTATACAAGTCATGTCATACATGATAAAACGGATCGTATTATTTTTAATGCGAACCTGCTGTGTGGCCGTATGGCGTTTTTCTGATACGCACAAAATTTTTACAGCATGTGGCCGAGCCCAGTTCGGTTTTCTTTTGTCGGTATAGATGGACCGCTGGGGTGTAGGCAGAAATATTTTTCGGAAAAGTGAGGGGAGGTGGTGTACTTATTGGACTTAAGGGGGGGGGGGGGGACAGATGTGGCCCAGCGTCACATTTTATTTTATTTTAACAATACTGTAGGCCTTTGTACAGGCCCATACAGGAAGTGGTTAGAAAAATTATATATGAGCATGGACATATTGAAATCAAAAACGAAAGCAGAACACAGAATGTCTCAGTAGATAATGTTTCAGTAATAGATCAAGAACAACGCAAAACAATGCAAAAATGGGATCACACATCAAGAAGCCCCATACATTTGACAAGCTTCTGCCAACATTTACCTCATGAAGTACATGCCTCATGAAGTACATTGTACCCTTTGTGCAGTGGATGCTTTGGCAAAAAAAAAATGAGGGGGGGGGGGGGGGGGGCATGGATCTGGTGTGCCACTCCTGGCTACGTCACTGATGAACTTTGAGGCATTACACAAAGGAACCGAGACTTCAAGTAAAACCTAGTAGTAACTATTAGAAAAACTTCTACCGAGTCACAACTATCTTTAGGAATATGTGAAATACTTTCGAAGGTTGAGACAACTGCCAACATAGTATACGGGGGCCTAGGTGCCAAGGCGCTGAGCTGCTATAACTCTTGGACGCGGGTTCATCTCCAAGCTACAGCTGCCGCATTTTGATAGGTTTAAATGCAAGAAGCACCCTTGTATTTTTATGCGCACGCTGAAGAAGCACACATGGACAAAATTTCAATAAAAAAGTTTTAAAGAATTTTTATGAAAGAAGCTTCAATGTGGTTAGTCCATTCAACCTTCTCTTATTTGGTCAAGCCTACCTTTTTATTTATGAGATAAATATTTTTCCTTAGTATGAGGCGGCTATTTTGTGCTGCGTCGATAGTCTCGTGAGAAGGCGTAGATAAAACACGTTTTTCTTTATTTTTACTTAGCTCGTGCCTTCGTCAACACTGTTTATCTAACACAATATATACAGGGCGTCGAAAATATCACGCATCACGATAAAAAAAAAACGGTGTTACGCCAAGCGCGCCTAGTACAAATTGTTGCTAGTACACTTGAACAGCGACTACTAATTTTTCGTGTATGAGATCAATTCACTCGTCATAATGATATTTTAAGTTAAAAAGTACTCACCCAATTATCAAAGTGTCGATGAGCCATATGTTCGCATGTTGAAACGGCATCTGAAAGGGCTACTTTCTAAAACGCACTAGTTGCATGCTCTTTTTTCCTGGTGATAAAGAAAGTCCAGGAAATCTAAAAAGTGACACGTGACTTGATTACTGCGTACGTCACTCCGACGCGGTGGTCTAGTGGCTAAGGTACTTGGCTGCTGACCCGCAGGTCGTGGGATTGAATCCCTGCTGCAGCAGCTGCATTTTCGATAGAGGCGGAAATGGTGTAGGCCCCTGTACTCAGATTTGGGTGCACGCTAAAGAACCCCAGGAAGTCGAAATTTCCGGAGCCCTCCACTGCGGCGTCTCTCAGAATCATATGGTGGTTTTGGCACGTTAAACCCCACGAATCAATCGTATCAATCATTACTGCGTACGTCGGGAACAAGCGCCCTCAAACTGGCTCACTTCAAGGCAGGCCAGTATCAGTGAAAAAAAAAAACCTGCAAAAAAATGCTTTTCCTATCTGCCATTTCCCGTCTAAAGAAACGTGCCGCTTTGACCTTACACAGTCAGGCTGTAATCCGTACAGTACTACGGCCGCGTTAGCAAAGAGAACAGTTGGGCGTGAGATATGGATAATGATATTGGCGTACAATTGAGCGGAAGGAATTCCTGCAAAACTGTGACGCATGTTGTTGGCGCCCGACATTTACTCTTGCAAATGTGCGGAACGCTCTCTGTCAACGCACAAGAGGCGCAGAGTGGTTGCTTGCAGTAAGCTTATTTGAGGGCGCTGATTTCTTTTGCAAGTGAGTGAGCAGTCACATGTTTTTTTTTTTCAAAATTCGCAGGCTTTTCTTGATTTGATTCACTGGTATGTGGTGTTTAACGTCTCAAAGCCACCATATGATTATGAGAGGCGCCGTAGTAGAGGGCTCCGGAGATTGCGACCACCATTTGGGTGCACGTCTTTAACGTGCACGCAAATCTGAGCACACGGGCCTACAGCATTTTCGACTCCATCGAAAGTGCAGCCACCGCAGCCGAGATTCAATCCCGTGGCCTGCGGGCCAGCAGCCGAGTACCTAATCTACTAGACCACCCCAGCGGGGTGCACGATTTTTTTTATTAACAGGAAACAATGAACGTATTATTAGTATGTTGTTGAAAGTAGCAGTCAAATGTCATCTCAACATGCCCTCATGTGCTTCATTGACATTTTTATAATCAGTTTAGTACTTTTACAGTTACAGATATAATTATGACTAAATAATTACTTGACATTAACGAAAAAGTAATCACGGTGGCTCCAGTTTTCTAGGAAAATCATGTATAAGTTTGCTTTACGTAACACCATTCCTCTTTCTTCAAATCGTGCTGCGCTTGGGAAACCATATGTATCAACACTCATTGGGCAGGAAACGTAATACAAAATACACACACGTTAAGTAGTCTTGGCACATTTATAACGCTTTTTCCAGTACACCGATCAGACCACTTATAATGTACACAAGTACTGCGCGAAGCCTGATTTTGAAAAAAAAAAAATATGAGAACAGACTACGACGAACCTTTGTCACGTGATTATTCATCACGAACAGGTCGGTCAATCTGGAGGATATATCACTTGTCGATAGGTTGACACACAGTACGGATTTAAGAATAAAAAAATTAACATTAATTTCTATAAACATGGCATTTGCTTTAGCAACATGGTCAAGAATTATTTGTGCAGTAAGCTTGAAAAAAAACAATACGAGTATCCACGATGCAATTTGTGCGCTGCCGCGCTTCTTGTACATTATTAGGTGCAGTGTAAGCATACCCGGTGCTCGTCTTTCTTGTTATCTACAGCGAAATAGCTCGCACACCGTTACTCGTCCACATATTGACGATGCTCGAGGGTCTGTAGGTTCGATCGTACCTTACACAAAATCTGGACAAAAATTACAAACAGCGCGCTTCCTTCACACTACAGAAATTTTCTTACACAATACATAGAACAGAAAATAATATCAAGGAAAGCATAGGCGATGTTCTTTGTTCCTGTCTACGTCCCCTGCAGGACAAAGGCCTCTCTCATGTTGCCAGTCAACTCGGTCAACCGCGAAGAAAGTAAAGTGGACGAAAAGATGACTTGCTGGTGGAATACAGGACCGAACCTGCGTGCAACTTTTGAACAACGCGTCCGATGAGGTCATGTCTCTTTCGATCATCGGGTGTATTTGTGCATTCAATCCTCGTAGTCTTAGTCAGCGCCAATGGCAGTCATTGAATATTATATGCAACAAATGAAGGCGAGCCACGGCGAGTTCTCACAGCGAGTTCCACGGCGAGTTCTCGCCTTCGCTACCCTTCCTACTAGCGCTATCTCTTCGACGTCATTTATTTCTTGACCGAACGCGTGGAATTTCAGCACTAAGTATAGTATTGAGCCGGTCAGTATTTTGCGCTCTTCGACTACACGGTGCTGCCCCGCCGCGGTGGTCTAGTGGCTAAGGTACTCGGTTGCTGACCCGCAGGTCGCGGGATCGAATCCCGGCTGCATTTCTGATGGAGGCGGAAATGCTGTTGGCACGTGTGCTCAGATTTGGGCGCACGTTAAAGAACCCCAGGAAGTCAAAATTTTCGGAGCCCCCCACTACGGTGTCTCATAATCATATGGTGGTTTTGAGACGTTAAACCCCACATATCAATCAATCAACTATACATGCTGCTAACGCCGCTTGTGCAGTCGCAAACGCAGAAAACGAAGTGAAATAACAATAGTCATGCAAGACAAGTCAGGACCGGGTATGCGACTGCATGGCAAAGCATAGTGAGCGTCAATCTGTAACAAATACTTCTCGTATATCGACCACATCGAAAGTCTATACTTCATCTAAACGTCATGTGAACAAACAGCTGGCGTCACGAATCGGGCCACGACGCCAGGAGAAAAAAAATGGCAGATGCCGCGTACAGTGGGAATCGATGATATGTGAATCACGTATGAGGAAGGTTGATGTGTCGCTTTGAAATCACCATAACGTTATGACGCTCATGAATGTATACATAGTACACGGTAAACACAAGTGGAAATGCGCATTCAGGTATCTGGATAAGATGCAAATAGGTTATTTATAGTCGCGTAATGACGGCGCCGCTAACATTTGCAATACCAGCCCCAGCCGTAAATGTAAACTATGCCGCACTTGACTTTGATATCATGATTATCAAGCTTGCGCCTGGCACTTGTGTTAGTCATCAATTTACGTCACGTAATACTAAATTAAATTTGGTATATGTGAAGCTAGCGAAATGGCCATGAGTGTGCTACGAGCGTATACATAGCATGTGGTTGTGCTTTACATAACACGCATGCCATGATTATCACGTTAGGGCCTGTAATTTCCTCCATCGTCCGTTCGCGTATACAAAATTTAGTATATGGGAAGCTGCCGAAGCGGCCGCGAGCGCTTCATGAGCGTGGCATGTAGCCATGTTCTTGCATGACACGCATGCCATGAATGTCATGTTCGCACCAGTCATATACTTTCGTCATCCATTCCCGTCACGTGATACCGAATTTGGTATATGTGAACCTAGCGAAGTGACTGTGAGCGCATCATGAGTGTACGGCGTGTAGTCATGACTTACATGAAATGCATGTCATGACTTTCACGTCAGAGCCTGCCACTTATGTTCACCATGAAGTTATGTTATACCCTACCAGTTTTGCAATATTTTATGTGAACTAAACCACCGCTAGAGCCACAAGACTATGACATGTAAATCATTACTATAATGGCATACATGTAATCGATTTTCATGTCATGACTAGTCGCTTACGCTTGTTACACAGTCATATTATGCCATAAAATGGCTAGTATACATCCCATCCTCGAAACGGCCAAGAGAGCTAAAAGTCGTAGGCGGCTAGATAGATAGATAGATAGATAGATAGATAGATAGATAGATAGATAGATAGATAGATAGATAGATAGATAGATAGATAGATAGATAGATAGATAGATAGATAGATAGATAGATAGATAGATAGATAGATAGATAGATAGATAGATAGATAGATAGATAGATAGATAGATAGATAGATAGATAGATAGATAGATAGATAGATAGATAGATAGATAGATAGATAGATAGATAGATAGATAGATAGATAGATAGATAGATAGTAGATAGATAGATAGATAGATAGATAGATAGATACGCTCAAAGTCACCGAAGCTCGCTTCGCGTATAATAACCCACCCATTTTTTGTATTTTCGGAGGTGGTTTAGGGGCCCTTTGAATTTTCCTTGAAGACTTGCCTCTGCAGGCGACGTGAGAGTGAATACTATACGTGACCACGGCGTTGTTTTTAGCGCTTTGAAATTATTTATCTTGATGTCTCCCGACTCTAAAACTCACGGCTGCATACAAACACGCCCACTTGTATTTTACAGTCCGCAAGTGCCGCGGAACTATTGTTGGAGCGCCCCTTTTTTGTCTCCGCTTCGGTTTGGAAGCTCCCGAGTCAGTGTTCGAATGTTTACCTTCGGCAGGCGTTCTGCAGACGCGGCCTTCTTTGAAAGTGCCACGCCACGCGACCCTGTTCTGGCGACGAGGTGGCTGCGCCCCGGCTCTGTAGTGAATAGACGACGACGATCGCGAAACCCGCGCCCTTCGCCTCCTCGCTGTTTGCCTTTCTCTAACTGCTCACGCCAAGCGCGGGTGTTATTTGCCTCGCCGAGCTCCCGAAGAGCACACTCCTTGCGCGCATCAGGGCCCCGGGGCAGCAGCAAACCGGCGCATCCTTCCGACGGCGCTCCTTTGAAACACGTAAGTGCCAGCGTCGACATCCTGTCTAGAAAAAAAAAAGTTTGAGAAACCCTTTAAGGTGGCAGCCTAAAACGCGCACACCGCGTGGCTTATCGTACATCGGCACCCATTATGTCTCTAACCGCATGCCATAGAGGTACACGTCAACGCTATAGGTCTAATAGAGCTAGAGCCAATGGAGAATAGAGTTAATTGAGTTGAAATAACGATGGACCCTGGAGTCAGTGTGGTGTTGACCACCGTCCGTAACCTCTCGCGCCCCCTGTCGTACCCTAATTTTGGCGCTCATGCCTCGACTGTTACGCGCTTTTTTTTATTGTTGGGTTGAAACTAAAGTGCCCATTTAATGCGTAAGCAATGCACCGGCTGTGAGAGAGGTAATCTTTGAACGTCAGCGAAGCGTAAAGGAATGTTCCCTACCCCTTGCACAAAATATAAATGATGAAATACATGACGACGCCACGAAAATTGCTCCCAGACACACGCTGGAAGAAGTCACCGTAATACCGTTACATTAGACCTTAGCAATACAGCATCATCACTCTCAGTCACTTGGGTTTTATTCAGAGCAAATTATAGCATTGTTTAAAAAAAATACGAATAATAGATCGCATTGATTTTCAGACAATAACCACCTTTTGGAAATTATTACACTTAACATTCCAGTTTTGAATGTTAAAGTGAAATGGTTATATCATTTTGAAACGACATTGCTCAGCACTGATATATAACCGGTATCACCAGCCAGGGTTTTCATGCATTGTCAAGCATAGGTACTAACAACGCAGTAACAAGTGTCCTTAGGAACGTCCGTTTTTGAGATCGTATCACTCGAGTCATACAGTGAACACTACAATATGCACAGACACCACGGTGCTTTGAGCTCCTATGTCCTAATAACCAGCACCATTTTCACACTCTGAAACGTTACGCATGCGCCAATACCTTCAACAATATCAGTAAAACAACATTAACAAAAGGTATATCCATAAAAGGCGCACTTTCGTGCGTGACAAACAGGCGAACAGAAAAAGTTACGAACCATCTCCCACATGCAGCTATGCGGTGAAAAGGCTTGCCTTTGACTCAATATTGCACGTGGACTGAACAAATGAACATAGTAACACCAACAAAATTATACGGTTGAAGCATCACTTGTTTAAGGAGCGGGACCACTTCACAAGCGCGCATTCACGCTACAACTCTTGTACGAAGCGTATAGCTTCATGCTAAAATTGTTGTAAATAAGTCTCTCTTCTATAGAAATAGTCATAAATAAAACAAAGAAATATCTTATGGTGGTTATTAACAACGCACTGCTTTGACAATATAGAACAAACAGGCCACTATTTAAAAAATTACTATTAAGAAAACTACTTAAAAAGGTACAAAGTGGTACGGACACAAGCCAGTGACTTAAGTTTCATATGAGTGAACCGAAGAGCCTGAAAATATTCACTCAACGCATCAGAGCGAGTATGTAGGCTAGTGGTTCGCAATAGAAGTACTCTTCACTGCATTCGTTCACGATAGACGCGAGCTAATAAGGGTCAAATACAGCTCTGGATGAGTTACAAGTATTAATGCAAATCAGTGTGGCATACACGCAGCTTAATTCCAGAATATGACTTAGACACAACAAGGAGACAGACGCGATGAATACTGTCATAAGTGACAGTTTCGCTTACGCTTGTTTTCGCAACCCGGGAAAATTGAGGGAGAGAGCAGGAACAAGTATTTCAAGCAATTAAACACGAACACTCATAGGCAAAATAATAAAAATCTGCATGTTCTCAAGATGAACAACTTCAAGTCAGCTCGTAGACAAGAACACAGTCGCTAAAGCTAGCTTGAACTAGTTGCTCTATGTATTTATGGTCACTTCTTCATGTCGAAAATGCGCACATATCAACTCTTGGCTACTTATCTTTGACTACCGGGACCTCCGCACGCTTTTTTCAGCAACTTAATTCTTGTGTACATAGAGCTTAGAACCCGTATTCAAGTGTGTGGGCTGAACTGATACGTAAGGGGGAAAAAAGCCGATTATGACGCTGGACATGCTTCATTAGCTAACTCGTCTATCCCATTCTATGTGGATCAAAGAACTCTCTTCTTTGATTCCTATTCTTCCCAAAGTTTCGTATCCGAGTTCACACATTCATTCCTAATTTTGGGGCGCAACATTTAACAATAAATCAAAGCTGATAGAAAACGTTCCCGACACCAGCGCCACACATGCATGGTGGTGCTCTTGGAAGACCATGAACGTTCGAGGCTCGCTAAGAAGTTTTATGGCGTATGATATCAAATGCACATGATGCTCACTTTTGACGAGAAAAGCGCATGATGCACATTTTTTTCATGTAATCGGGCGGTAGAAAGTTGTGAGAATCGCAGCATGTATGTGCATGTTACAACTCCCATTACATTCCAAAGTCCTCGGCTCTCCTGTCTGGGGCAGAAAGTGTTCGGCCGCACCACGCGATGCGACATGCACTTCGATATTTCGAGCATTTCACCAAATTAAAGAAGGGACCCCAACCTCCCACGCAAATCCACCACAGGTACGCTAAGCGGAGGCCCAGACAACCAACCTCCTCCATGAAGTAACTCTCGATTATCAGGTGCGGCAGATAGCCTGCGTAGAAAGTAAACACAAGCGATAGCACAAACAACAACGAAGATAAGTCCCTTTCGAGCTTTTGATTGCTGTGTCTCGAGCTCGTAACTTGAATGAAGCGCGGCATACTCGTCTCTGACGACGGCTGAGAAGACTTCTTTTTCTCCGACAGCACGTAACACATGAGCACCACGTAAACAACAGTGGTGACACTTACAGGTACCAGCACTGTGGCGATTCCATTCACAACGCGAGTCGACCACGGGCCCAGCATCATGCAGTGACTAGTGAACTTGTTCGGTCGAAAGCATCCCCAGTATTCGACCGAGTGTGGAATAGTCAGCGCCCAGGAGACCAGCCATGGCAGGACGCTGAAGACATGCCTCATCCACTTGCGATGCGGGGAGCCGGAGTGTGCAACGAGCATGTACTCGTCCACATTCAGACACACGAGATAGAATGCCATTGTCTGCACCGACGACAGGTACAGGGATCCCGTTACCACACACTCGACGCGGCCGGGTGCCTTGCCGCTGAGCTGAAACGCCGGTGTCGTGAGCGAAGCGATGCACAGAGTCGTCGCAGCGATGCACGTGCTCGCGAGCAGTCGAGGAGACAAACAGTTGACCGGCATTGGCGACCGGAAGAGCAGGGCCACAGCCATCACGGCACTGACTACAGCTCCCAATGACGCGATGCCCACGACCACGGCTTGGAACGACAGGTCGAACCAGTAGCCATGGCACACGTCGAATTCCAGCGGCGCGGGCATACCCGCGGGCATACCCGCGGGCGACGTCGATTCCACAGTTGTCGAATTCATGGTGCAGCAGCTACGGTGTTGGCCGGCTCTTCATAGAAAGTGCAGGTAAAATGCGGCACAGTGCGCCCGCTCAGCTCACGGGTGACGACGCGCCACGCTGTCTAACGAAGGCATTTCCCAGCCCCGATCGCGGTTGGGCGCGGTCCTTTGCCGAAGAAAGTCTTCGAAGCGCATACACGACTCGGCGCTAGCAGCCGCCGCTAGCGCGGATGGAACTGACTGGGGACTGCGCCCTCGCCCGAACGTGCCGATGAGTGCGGCTGCGCGCGACGAGGAACTGCCGCTGAATCAGAAGGATCCATATCTTCTTCCGGTGCAGTTTTCTTGACTCAGAGTGTGGAGGGGACGTTATGTCACCTGGTGCGAAAAATGCTCGCGTTTCCACGTAGGCGGCTCACGCGCTCGCTTCGAGAGATGGGCTCCGCTTCTTTTTTTCCCCCGTAGTGCACGGATTCCGCATCGTTGTAATATTATTTACGCGTCGCGGAAATGCCGTGACTCAACATCGCTCCGCGTGCTCGCTCCGTGGTGCGTGAAATGAGCGCGATCGGTGGACAGTTGAAAAATTCCTGCCGTCGCTACACGAGACATCGGGTTTCGCACCCGCACTTGTACTCCAGCTGCTGCGTGACCGTCGCTCGTATCTACTTCGCTCGAGCATAGCGAAGCCTCGGCGATCGCTCTCGAACCGAATGGCACGCGGATTAAAATTATTGCATTCCCCGCGAAAGACCTTAATAGACGTGCCCTGTCAAACACAAATAGAATGGACCGCGTACAATGTCTACTACGACACAATTATAGAAGATAGTTTCATTTTTTAGTGTGCCGAAACATCTGTGTCATTCCTCTTTCCTTCAACATGGTGGACGAGACGACAGAACGTTTCTCGCCGCAGCACTCGACTGATCCACGCTGTATGAGGCGACAGCTGATGAATAGTGAAATGAAATGCGCTTCTTTTCGATAGGCGCATATGATATAGAGTGAAACTGCCTGCGCAACATGACGGTCTGCGTTCGCTATGTACGCCGCCCTTGCCCCCGTGGCATTCGCTTCTACGTCACGTTTTATTTAGTTTTTTTTTTGTACTTCGGTGGTCACCGTGGCTGCTTTGATTCATGACTCGCCAGTCTGCCGAGCAATCGAATCGAGCAAGTGGCGACACAGATTAGGCTCCATCATCTTCAAACGACTCAACGACGACAGCGAAGCGCGAATTCCCGGACCATCCGAGCGCTCCTTAACATCTCTCGCCAACTGAATTGCTTCGGATTAAAAAAAAAAAGAAAAGTAAAAAGGGCCGGGTCTCGGAGTTCACGGCCGACGCCGATGACATAGACCCTTTTTTTTTTTTTTTTGAGCGACCGTCAACATTGATACTTTATTTCCTTTGGGTAAAAAGGAAAAGGTCAATTACGATTACAAGTGCCCAAATAGCCATTGAGAAATGCAAGAAATAAAATCAAACTAGTGGTACGTGCTCATAGATAAATAAACGGCTAAAAAAGAATATAGTTGCTAAACATGAATTATAGAACTGCACCATTTGAGTAATCGCAATTTATATAAGGTTTCATTGTAAAAAAAAAGCTTGAAGGTTCGTTCTCAGTAAATAGCTTCTATTCAAGGCTGAATACCCTACTTCATTTATTTATGTAGTCAAATTAATTAGTACTTTAGTTAGTTAGTTAATTAGTACTTTAGTTAGTTAGTTAGTTAGTTAGTTAGTTAGTTAGTTAGTTAGTTAGTTAGTTAGTTAGTTAGTTAGTTAGTTAGTTAGTTAGTTAGTTAGTTAGTTAGTTAGTTAGTTAGTTAGTTAGTTAGTTAGTTAGTTAGTTAGTTAGTTAGTTAGTTAGAAAGTACCCAAGGTTCCCTTTCACTGTTGCTCATTTCGGTTATTTGGAAATCTCTGAATTCTCTGAATTCAATCTTCAGGATTGAGGGTATCGGAATCAATAATTTAAAAAAGGCTTTCAGTAAAATCTTTCATTAAACAAAAAAAGTACGGAAAAGTCTTTCGTGAAAAGAACTTTATGTGGAACACGATTTCATTGATCGATGGGACATGATTAGATACACACAATCTAGAACAACTGGAACATTGAAAGAGCCTTTCCCAACGAAACCAATTAAAAAAACGCATTAATCATCAAACAGCATTCCTCTATTACTCAACTGAAAGTAGGACGAGTTTGATGTCTAGTGAGTGGTAATGTAGAACAATCGATAACATGAATAGCTTTATGGAAACTATCGGTAGTGCATATATACTGAAATTGTGGATAGTATTACCGATAATGCAATCGACAGTACCATCGGTAGCAGTCCTACATCTATCACCATAGATAGTGCTACATTTATTTATTAAGGTGACTTATTAATCGGGAAAACAGACCGTGGGCGTACCGTGGCGTCGACGTGAATACGAGTGACGCAAAAGATGCCCATCCCGCGATGACATCATCATGACGTAACAGACCACGAAAATTCGAGACTTCACCGTGATGTCACACGATGACGTCATTAAATGACTCCATCACTAGATCGAAGTGTGCCGATCACGGAGGCAACGCCAAACCACACGAAGTGCAGAAAGATTGTGAAGTGGGGCGGGTGAGGACCAGCACATCTATCCAGCAGAAAAAGACGACGGCTTTCGTCCTCTAATCCTGTCGCGCGGATCCATAAGGGACCTTGTGAGTTTACTAACGCTATGTGGGTAGCGGTATCGAACTGCTCTGAACAAGAGAAAGAGGACTCTTCGTCCAAATAAATAGAAAAAAAATTGGCCCCGCATCTGCAGGTTACACTGCAAATGTCGTCAAGAGACGATAGTCTTGCGTCTGGAGAGAGTGAACAAAACGTTTATTTGATGCTTTGTGCAAGAAAATCGGTGAATGGTATTCTGTAGGCGCTGCATTAGAGTGCCTCGAGCGTGCAGTGAAGACGAACGAGCGTATCAAGTCACGTCACACGTGAGACATGAGCGCTATCGGGCAGTTATCTTGGAAAACGAAGCGCGGCGGCGTGCGCGTGCGTCTCGGAGGTGATAAGGTGTAGAACGCAAGGCGACGGGTAGGTGCCACCACCGTCTAGTCTTAGCAAAGCGTTGGAAACTCTTGCCTTTTCGTGCAAGTGTTACATGGTCAGCGCAGCGTGATAAACGCTACGGTCCCTAGAATTACTTATGTATGCCTTTTCTAGTAAAAGACACACATGCAGAATATTGAGGTGTTGTTATGGTGCTTCAGATATGCGCAATAATGGCATTTTAATTTACAATCGCACAAGTATGAACGCTGAATCTTGAGCATTATTGGTGGGCACTGCGGATCGGGTCGGCCGTTTAGGGTATCGTTAAGGGCGGACAGACAGACAGACAGACCAATATTTTTTCGTTGAAGGTCCCCAAGAAAGAGTCGTCATTAAAAATGTATGGCACACATATTTGCAGTGTTCCGCGTAGGTTAGCGGCCTATGCTTTAGGAAGAGGTCTGGCGACGTGCATTTTTTGGGGGGACACGCTTTCCGTTTGGAGTTGTCCCTCGTTCATCCATTCATTCTGTAACATATACAGTGACGAAGGCGTGTTATAGCTAGACGCCGTGATGCACACGGGCGAGGAGGGCTGTAGTTCTTGTTTTTACTTGTTTAGAAAAAACTTTTCAGTACTGGCTCTTCGATGAACCGAATAGCTTCGCTGCTACTGTAACGTACATCATAAAAGCAAGAAAGGTCTGAACTGACTCTGTTACCCTTGTGCGCTAAATAGTTCTATAAATTAAAGGAGCTAATAAGGTGTGCCGAAAAAATGAAGCGTGCAAGCACAGACACGCAAACAGACGTGCGCGGGCACCCGTGCGCAAGGTAACAAGGAAATTTCTCAGTTAAAAAAAAAAAACTTTTTAGTTTATGAAAATTTTGTCCTAGTCCGGGGTTTTAACCCGATACCAGAGCGTACCTCCCATTTATTCTTTTATTCCGTTTTCCGGGGTTCCAAAGAACTAGTTTACCATATTCTGAGTTCATGTCATTCGGGTTATTACTTATTTCACCCTCGTTCTGCTCAGGAGGTAAAGCGACCACCCCGAAACGGCTTTGGCCCCACGTTGGAACCCCGGAGCAGAATGAGTTTTTGTCCGTTAAGATGGTGTGAAATCCAAATATATTTCCTTGTAGCTTTAAGCTGTTATCAAGAAGACCACTTTTCGCTTTCATAACTGTCACTCACTTGACCTCAATAGGTGAATTTCGCAAAACATATTTGCCATAAAGAAAGTGTTCATACGTACAAAGGTTAAACAATACCTCGATCCCTCACTTCCAGTATTCTGCAGTGTGCCAACTAATAATTTTTTTTTCACTTTTCCCCCGCAGACTTTGAGGCTACCAAGGGGTACACTGCAATGCAAAACTTGTTCACCGAGGTGGCGTATCTATGGCTGCTTTCGTTAGGATTTTGCATTGGAGGAAAAATTCCTACGATGCCAAGTAAGTCAATACAACGACCGCATTTCTTGATATGCTTTACGCCAAGGTTAACTGGGCTTCAGGGCTTCATAGAGAGGTTCAAACATACCCATCGGGGGTCTTACAATAAATAAATAGATAAATAAATAAATAAATAAATAAATAAATAAAAGGTAAGATAATGAACCTGCTTGCTCACACTGATTTATTGTGGTTCCTACAAACGCTCCTTAAAGCACCACCGTAAAATAGATGAATGAATACAGGACGTACTATCAGAAAGCAAGCAATTAAACCATCATATTTAGTAAATTAACAAAAAATACAGATCCCCATTCTTGTGAGAAATGGTTTGGCGTGAAGCAGTCGGCGAGTCTATGCTGAATTTAATGGCCAAACTTTGCGAGATGGACCGAGCTGTTTGTGTAGGAGCGGCACTAGGGACGTCGTGAGCTTACCAGGAACGTTCACGACACTAACGTTTTGAGGGTAACTCATGATCCAACGTATCGGTAGTGCTCGCATTAAAGCACAGACACCAGTATTATCGAACGAAGTGCACATTACGCCGCGATGATGCGAATATTATACGTAACCTTTGTTGGCGTATTCCTCCGGGGCCGAGCAATGATTTAATATAGAACACCAGTGTAATGTTTATTAGACTACTATATAGAAGTGGAGCTAACACTGTAACCACTGTTGACGTTAACCCGGCATGACATCTGTATCACATACATGTAATGCTTACTGCTCTGTTATAAAATTCGATAGCCAGCACTGCAACCACAATTGACATTGCACCGACATTACGCCTGCATAGAGTATTTTTCCAAAGCAGTTTCAAGAGATGGCGTGGCTCTGTGGTAGAATGCATGACTGTCTCACAGGGTGCTTGGATTCAATTCCAGTTGGGAACCTAATATTTATATTTTGAATTCGTCGGGTCAACACGGTCGATGCCAGTTCTTTTTTCCTTAACGCTTTTAAAATACCAAAGTGTTGTCTCGTCGTTGCTGTGTCGATATAAACTATCAATTACTTGTGGAGCCTAACCGCATACCACAACCTGTGGCGAATGGGTATGTGCCACACGTGTCTAGAAGAAACGGTTTTCACGTTATTCACTTCATGACCACACAGTTCAATTTGATTGATTGATTGATTGATTGATTGATTGATTGATTGATTGATTGATTGATTGATTGATTGATTGATTGATTTATTTATATGTGGGTTTTAACGTCCCAAACCCACCATATGGTTATGAGAGACACAGTAGTGGAGGGTTCCGGAACTTTCGACCACCTGGGGTTCTTTAACGCGCATACAAATCTGAGCACATGGGCTACAGCATTTTCGCTTCCATCGGAAATGCAGCCACCGCAGCCGGGATTAGATCCGACGACCTGTGGGTCAGCAGCCGAGTACCTTAGCCACTAGACTACCACGGCGGGACGACAGTAGAATTTGCCAAACCCTCTTACCTTCGCATACCAATTTCGGTATACACTATGCCAAACCCTCGTACCTTCGCATACCAATTTTGGTCTACACCAGTTTAATGGGGCGACCTCGAGTATGCACCCACATGTAGGCGACTACGTAGATATAATCACGCACATAGAAACGCTCAAAGTCCCTTTGTTTTTTCTAATAATTGCTTCACGTTTTAGAAAGAAACAAATAAATAAATAAAGTAAGAAGAAAAGAAAGAAAGAAAAAAGCAAAAAAATAAAGAGAGAAAGAAAGACGAGTTATGCAAGAACTTTCAAAGTGAGGTATTTGAGTTTTCCTTCATCCCGTTTTTGGTCAAGTGTTTAGTGTTGAAGCACACTAATCAGCTGATCCTGCCCCACAATGGTTGTCTAGTTGGCTAAGATACTCGGCTGCTGACCCGCAGGTCACGAGATTGAATCCCGGCTGTGGCGGCTGCATTTTCGATGGAGTCGAAAATACTGTGCGCCCGCGTGCTCAGATTTGAGATTTGTGTGCACGTTAAAGAACCCCAGGTGGTCGAAATTTCCGGAGCCCTCAACTTCGGCGTCTCTTATAATCAATCATATGGTGGTTTTAGGACGTTAACGCCACCCCTCCCCCATCTATCAATCAGATAATCCGTGTTTACTGCAGTACATGATGAAGTTGTGATCACGCACACATATTGTTCACCGCATTGTCACAGGCTATTGCATAGCCACACATACGCAGCCATAGTTTTAAAAAAAACTTTAAAAGAAGAGAAAAGTGCAGCAACGATTTTGTGCCCCGCAGCGCGGACTGTGGTCGAGGCTATGGTGCCAGTATACATTTCCTTCTGTGGATTCTGACAATACCCTCATGATATGATGATATATAAGCATGACAAAAGGCGAATGGAAGTGAACTTGAAGTGTTTTTTATGCGTAGTGCTTCATAAGCTTGTTTGATGAAAATACCTTCGCTATATACGCTGAATTTCAAGAGCTGGCTCTAAACAGCTGATTGGTTTTAGACATTTGAGACCACTAACGAGTATTATAATTCGTGGGACCTACGTTTATTACGCGCAAAACAGCCCATATTACTTTTTCTCTGTACTGCCAATCCGGACGCTCTAATGACAGGAATAAAGTTGGTATTACATACATAGAAAGTTTTAATATGTTGGTGCAGATAAAAAAGAACGAACACGTGGATTATGTAGCCTAAACATGGCGGGTATTTGATTGCAGTGTGTGAATCGCATATAAGATGCCTTTGGGGTTCCCATAAAAACATTTACTGTGTGAAAATATATTATTGCACTGTCACTGTAAGCCTTGGGAAAATCAAGGGCTGTCAATTGAAGCGATTTGTTTTATTTGCATTCTTTTCTTATGATAATGTCGCATGTACATTGCACTGAGCGGCCGATCGCAATTATAACCATGGCGATGGTGTCCTAGAAAATGACGAAGTGCAAAAAAATGAGAAACAAAGGAAATTGATTGTTACAAGATAAGCCTCTGAATTTACTGTTAATTTTATGTCGGCATTTTTTTTTTCTAT